TAACCCAGGTTGAGCTGGAACTCATGGTCCTCCTGCCTCCACCTCCCGAGTGCTGGGGTCACAGGTGTGCACCCAGCTGTAACTCCTCTACTTTCATCTTTCACTCATACTTAATTTTATGGTCAGACTTGCTCCTTTTTTCCCATGAGAGGCTCCCAGAATGCACCACTGGTCTCCCACTGTGCCCATCCCAAGGTGGCACTGCCCACTTCAGAGTTACCTCCACCCTCGGGGTCAAATGGGGTCTGTTTCCATCTGTTAAAGGTCACAGGAAGAGTTTGCCTTGGCTCTGTGCCAAGGGGTTTGATTCAATCCCGGATTCAGCTGGGTGCTGCCCAAGAGCTAAAACACTCCAGCCAACCCTGGGAACTAGGTTCAGGCAGCTCCACCAGGGCCCCCAGCAGCCTGCCCTTGGCAGTCCTGCCTGGCTGCAGGCTCAGTTCCTAAAATCAGGGAGGCCAGCCAGCCAGAAGCTCACTGCTTGTTCTTCTCCATATATGTCCAGTCGCCTGTCCTTGGGGGAACACACCCTATGCCTCAGTTTCCCCATTTCTAAAAGCAGGTAGTAACGGAGCTGGTGCACAGAGCATCCTGAGGATCAGAAACGTGGTGCTCTGTCTAAGCTTGATGAACAGATAGGAGCAAGTGCCAAAGGAGGCAGGGACTGGCTTCCTGCAGGTTCTGTGGGCAGCTGGGCAGGTTATGTTACAGCCAGTGGCAGCCACCTGCTCCCTCCAGCTCTCTCCTCCCCCACACCTGTGTCCTTCCTCATCTTCCCTCCCAAGGCCAAGGTTCTGGCACCTGCCCCTCTCTGACCTGTCCACCACTCCAGCTTCCCCTATAATCTGCTTTCCTAACCTGGCCACCCAGCACTAGGCTAGGAGAGGTGCAGGAATCAGAAGTTCCCTCCAAAAGCCAAGAGACCTGGTTCACCTTGGCCCTGAACCAGTCCTTTCTTCTCCAGTGTCGGTTTCAGTTCGTAAGACAGGAGTCAGGGCCCTGGGTTCCTGGCTGGAAGGAAAAGGCCACGCAAGTTTCCTGCAGATCAGAGACTACAAGGCAAGGCCCTTGAAGCCACTGGCATCTTATTTCAGTTGTGGCCAGGGCACACCCCAAACACAATTCCCAAATGTGGGCTTGAGCAGGTCCCCTGCAGAGTTCTGGAACAATGGCCCAGTTGTTTCCACAGAAACATCACAGCTGAACTCGAATGGCCAGGCAGTGACGGTCTAAACTCAAACCAAATCCAGAGTGCCTGTGCACACAGGGCCATGCTACACGAGGCCCGTGTATCCGAGCCTGCTGTGGGCACAGCCCAGGGATGTCCCTGTCCGCCCTCCTGTGCCACAGACAAGGGTACGGCTAACGGCTAACCGTGCGACAAGGAGGAAGGCAACGGGATGGAGAGAGGAACTGGAGGTTTTGGGGAGGGAAGTCAAGTCTGGTGCAGGGGTGGGTCGGGCCCCAGAGCCCAGGAGTCTGCCGGAGGCTCCGGGGCACAGGCAGGGGCTCATCTGGGTTGGACATTCTCTCTGGCCAACCTCTGACAACGCCACTGCATGACCCTGGGTGCTTTGGTGGGACCAGCACAGATGCTAGGCAGAAAGTCAGAGGAGAGACATCTGTTTGTCCAACTGTCCATCCATCTGTCTGTCTGCCGGGCTGTCTGTGCTGGGCCTGCAGCAGGTGTCACTACCACTGAGTTCCTGTTTTGGGTGAGACAAAGGGCCAGGGCAAGCAGCATGATAAGAATGACAAACAGAGGGAATGATGGGGATGGAGGGAAGGACAAGGCACGTGGCTCTCTAGATCGATCACAGGACACAGTGCAAACATCGGCCGGCCGTGTGGCTGCAGGGTGCAGGGCAGGTGTTTCGGGGTGGGGGAGGAGGGTCGGCCCATCAATGCACAGTAGCATCTTGGTGGGGGCAGGGCTGAATCCTGCCCCACTATCATGTGAGGTTGTCACTTGTCTGCTTACCTCAGCCAGCTGTTGTTACAGCACTGATGGAGGTGGGGTGGGGACAGGGCAGGGATGGTTATCACTACGTGTGGTGGTGAAAAAGTGCCTAGAGCAGGCCTTGAGGGGCTGCCCCATCAGGTGCTGGCCCTGGTGGCCTCCTCCCTCCTGGCCTCAGTGTCACTCGCACAGGGGGCTGAGAGGACCAGACCCCTCCCACAGTGTTTCCTGAGGACCTGCAGCATGCAGGGTGACATCAGTGCAGGAGACAGGCGAGCAGTCCTGGCTCCGTGGTGCTTAACTCTAATGGCAAAGAGGACGAGCACTATACACACGGCCCGAAAAAGGCATCAACGCAGTGGGTTTGAGGGTCACAAGTGCTCGCTACCATTTTAAAAAGATCAGGGCCATCAGGTGAAGTTGGAGTGTGACCACCTGGCTGAGGCCCTGAGTTGGGCAAACTGGAGATTTGAGAATGCACAGGAGGCTGGTGTGGCCACAGTGGAGTTGGCTGGGAAGTGGAAAGACAGGTGGTCCCCTGTCTTAAGGCTTCAGAACCCAGGGCCCTGGAAGGTTCTGGATGAGTTGATGGAGGGGGATAGCAGGGGCCAGGGAGACCCCTAGTTTCCAGGGTAGAGGCCTGGGAGCCACAGTCAGACTCTGGATGACTCTATGAGGCTTTCTGACAGCCACATGTGACACCTAGAAGGGTGAGATGGAGGACAAGTGCTCAGTTAGCCAGTGCCAGGCTGCAGTGTATATGAAGTATGTGGGTTGGGAGCGGGTCAGGCCCAGGGCGGGGATCAGGCCTGGGGCGGGGGTCAGGCCTGAGGTAGGGGTCAGGCCTGGGGCAGGGGTCAGGCCTGGGGTGGGGGTGGGGGTCAGGTCTGGGGCGGGGGGCTCAGGGTCTGGCACTAGAATAGGAGCTTTATTTCCTTTTTTTTTTTTTGGTGGTACTGTGAGTTGAACTCAGGACTTCATTCTTGCTACAAAGGCACTTTGCCACTTGAGTCATGTCCCCAGCCCTTGCCCACTGGTTCTGCAGCTTCAGTTGAGGGGCCTCAGTTTTCTCCTGAGCTGGAAGCCAGCAAGGTGGCTGCTCTCCCTACTCCTGGAGCCAGGCTGGGGCTTTGCCCAGTCAAAGCCCACAGGGAGCCCCTTCCAGGTGGCACGGCCGGCTCTATCCACACAGTTTATTTACATTCCCAGCAGCTCTCTGAGGTGATTAAAAAATGCTGCATCTCGACCAAGAATTCATGCCTAGGAAAGGCTCTGTGGAACAAAAGTCTCCCCCCACCTCGCTCTGCCATGAGGCTCAGAAACACCACCTGGGCCTCCCAGTTCTGCTCTCAAGAACAAAAGCTCAGTAAACACCTCTTCAAAGCACTGCTGCCCATGCCACAGTGTTGCCACCAGGCCCTTGGGCTGTCCTGTCACCAATTCCTTCCCTCCTCCTGTCTCTCCCCTCTCCTTCCTTCCTTCCCTCCCTTCCCCACCTTTCCCTCCTCTCCCTCCCTTCTTTCTATCAGCGATGGAACTCAAGGCCTTGAGATTGCTACATAAGCACTGTACCATACACCCAAACTCCCATTTTCTTCCTAATAATAGATCCTAAATGTGTTTTGTTAAATATTAACTAACATCTTTATATATGAAGCACTCATGCAAAATGATTACAAAATAACAGACGCCAAGGCCCAAGGATAAATAGACCAAGGAAAAGCTAATTTATACACGAGTGTGTGCACCCACAGGCAGGCAGGCACGCACACACGCACTGGGGCTCACCCTTAGATAGGGATCTGTGGCTGAGTGGGCCTGCCCTGCACGGTACAGCACTGGGCCGCATTCTCCCTGAAATACCGAGGGGTGCTGGGCACTCAGTATGCCGGGCCGATGGCTCCAGAGACCCCAGGGAGGCCTGCCAAGTGTGGAAAACCAGTGCAAGGGAAACAGCACACTTCAGGCTGGGGCTAACTCACCCGCTCTGTAAAACAGGGACCTAGGAGCTTGGGGCTTCGGCCAGGGAGGGCTGACTGTGGTGTCTCCTATGGACACTGTGCAGATGGAACCCTGGCTTCCACATGGTATTCACATGGGGAGCGTGTTAAGGCCTAATGTCCCAAGTGGTTATATTGGAGATGGTCCTGGAGGGAGCAGAAGGGGGCCCATCACAGGGTTGGTGTCCTGGTAGGAACAGGAAGAAGGGATGGGGTGTAGCTCAACATGTGAAAGGCCCTGGGCTCCATGCCAGCACTGAATAAAAAATAAAAAGAGGGGGAGTGGTGGCTTAGCCTGTCATCCTAGCTACTTGGGAGGTGGAGCTCTGGAGGATTTCAGTTTGAGCCCAGCCTGGGCAAATAAAGGTTCACAAGACCCCATCTCAACCAATAAAAGCTAGGCTTGGCCAGGTGCTGGTGGCTCATGCTGTAATCCTAGCTACTCAGGAGGCAGAGATCAGGAAGATCGCAGTTCAAAGCCAGCCTGGGCAAATAGTTCATGAGACCCTATTTCAAAATAAATAAGTAGAGTGCCTGCCTGGCAAACATAAGGCCCTGAGTTCAACTCTTAGTATCACTAAAAAATATAAATAAAAATAAAAAGGAGACACCAATCCTTCCCTTCCCATGTAAAGACAGTGAAAAACCATCTGTGAGACAAGAGCGGCTTTGCCAGAAATCACCCCAATGGTGCATTAATCCTGGAATTTCAGCCTCCAGATCTGAGGAAATAAATGTGAGGTCCTTTGAATGATTGGTTAAGACAGGGTCTCACTACAAAGCCAGGGGTGGGTGGGGGCTTTGAACCCTGATCCTCCTGCCTCATCCTCTGGAGTGCTGGAATTACAAGCGTGCACGACCACACCTGGCTTAAATACACCTGCATAAGCTCAGTTTGTACGTCTTGCTGTAGCAGCCCTCCCTCGTAGAAGCTAGTCCACCACCTTTACCTTCAACAAGGAGACCCCTCTTTGCACTGTGCTAAGAGTAACATCCCAGTAGACAGCAGCACATCAGGTCCTGCCTATAATTATGTCACACTCAAATACACACCAGTGTTACACCACGGGCCCTGGCTTACGGGGACTTGTTATAAAATCTTTGGAAAAAAAAATGGCAGCAACATGCTTTGCTGTGACTGTTTATTGTATTGAGAAGTCTACAAACTGGAGTGTTTAAGAAAGATTCACAAAGTACTCATTTGAAATCACAGTTTTGGTTCATCAAATTGCAAATATATTTTACTGTGTTGAACAATATATTCTAGTGCTGTCTAAAACACAGCCAAATTATTTTTATTGATTTATACATATTTAGTAACTTTTTGAACACCAAGATCAAGATAAAAATATTAACCTGCCCAATTCTAATTACTACTTTCCCTACACTGAACTGTTGTCTGTAGCTGTGCCCTCTGACCTTATCAATTTTAATTCTGTACACTATATTGATTTATAGACACACTTAAGGAGTTCCCAGCTTGCATTCTCAAAAATTCAAGCAGCAACACCTGTCAAAAGACAAAGTTGAATTCCCTTGGCAATGTGGAAGCATAGCTTTGTTAAAAGCACTCACTGGAAAATATTTTTAAGTTTATAGAGCATACAAAATAATTTACAAAGGGACGGATGACTTTAAAACAGCCTTTGGAATCCCCTCAGTATGTGGAAATGCAAATGAAGCAGCTTGCCAATTAGACACCGGTCTCGTTTGCTGTTTTGTTTTTATTCTTTGCTCCCTTTTCTGTGAGACGTGTGTTGTGTGGCGAGTGTGTTGTGAATGTGTTCCTCCAGGCTGATCTAACGTCAGCTGACCCCGTGATCCATGGAGGGCTTCTGCCTCCCCAGATGAAGGCTCCCCTGTTCAGGGAGAAGGGGAAGGAGCCAGTACCTCTGGAACCCCAGCTGTTGGAAATAAAGATTCCAGAAAAAGAAATCAAGGATATGCTTCAGATGCCAGAGGAGGTGTGTGCAGGAACTAACATCAAACGGACTTAAAATAAAGTTTCCAGTACATCAAAAATATCAACTTCTCAAAAGAAATACGAAAAATCCGAGGTGTGCATATACCATGTGGAAAAGTAGCAAAGCCATCTTCCAGGGTGTCTGGGCTGCCATGCGGCCTGAACTGGTCAGCGTCCTCCAACGTGGAGCCCCAGACAGAGCCAGGTGAAGGCAGGGTCATGAGCTGTAGCGATCCTGCAGAGAGACCAGTGGTCACTTCCCACACACTGGACCATCAGCATTTCCCAGGCTGCCCTAGAGGACGACACAGGGCACAAGTGCCAGCCACCAGACCCCATCACTGCACCCCAAAAGTGCAGACGACCAGAGGCTGGCGTTGCGGCAGCTGCCTGATACCTGGGACAGTGTGGGCTTTGGAAACCCACCTGGGTGGCACCTGGCCTGAGGTGCTCACGATCTGGGCTCCCAGCAGTGGGGAGGACTGTGATGCAGGGTTCAAGGTCACATGCTGAGCCCTCAGGATCACATATGCTGGGGAGGACGGAGGAACGAGTCTGGAGTCTGCTGAATTTGCAGTGACAACGTCTCTGCCCCACTTTTCTTGTCCAATGGGGATATGAAAGTGGTCACCTGCAATAGGGAGGCTCCTGGGAGGACTGACATGGGCCCAGCTGACCTGAGAAGCGTGAAGAGCCCTGTGGCCAGAGACAGAAACCTACCCAGAGGGGGACATCGGCAGTCCTCGGGGAGGGCACTCTCCTCTGCTAGGCCTCTCCACATCCTTCCCCATGACCACAGCAGCATCTGCTGGGGACTAGGGGCCTCTAGGAGGCACCAGAAGCCATGTGGACATAGTCCACTCCCCAGAGTCAGATGTTACATTAACAGAATCCTTCTAAAATAACTTGATGCAAACGAGAAGGTTCAAGAAACATGCCTTTCACATAATCTGAGTGGCCTCAGTCATTATATGCATGCAAGCAGTTCCATCTTTGCCTCATTTAAAAGACTGAAATATAATCTGAACATCCATTTTGGGAATAATTAAATTAGATGCATTTTCACCCCACAGAATACGATTCCTGGAGAATTTTTAATTACATCAGAATGCTCATAATGGCAGAGAGAAAAGCAGGATATAAAAATCAAATAGATAATATAATCCCTTTTCAATTTTAAAGAGATATACATAGAATCTAGAACTAAAATAAGACACCACAATTTTAACAGAAAATATTCCTGAGCAGGGGAATTATGGATAATTTTAATCTTTTAATAATTCTTTGTTGCAATCTAGAAAATAACTAGATAATTACTGAGACAGTTCCAGTAACAATTCTCCTAGAACTTAGAAAAAATTTTCGCTTGTTTGTTTTGAGACAGGGTCTCAACATGTAGTCCAGGCTGGCCTTGAACTTGTCATCTCCCTACCTCTGCCTCCCAAGTGCTGGGATCACAGGCATGTATCTCCAAGCCCAGCAAATAGAAAATTTTAAACAAATACAAAAATCATAATTTCTGGATTTCATGATGTCCTGGGTTCTGCAGCAAATACGTAAATCGATAATACACAATCTGATGGCCCCACAATCACACAGTGGGCCACTCTCAGTCTCACAGTGTCCCTTGAGCCCCATTTCACTGACCTGAATGGAAGTCATGACTCCGTTAGCAAACACGGAGAGCTTTCCAGCCACGGACCGCACGCCCTGCTTGAACTGCGCCATGTCAGGGGCGTTGGGCAGCACACTTGAGAGGCTGTAGTTTCCTGCACACAGAACAGAACCTGGCTTGTCCTTCTCTCATGGTGTGCCAGGCCTGGGGCCCAGGGCACTCATGACTTGGGCGGCCCAACCTCCTACCTCCTCCCAAGTGGCAGTGATGGTCCAGGAAGAGGGACCTAGAGTGGGGACCAAGCTCGGTGTGAAGGGCTAGCCCTTAAAGCCCCCTCTGGCACCACATACCCTGGCTCTTAAGGCTGGTGGGAAGCAGATGCCTCACCACGCTGTCCCATGGGATGTTGGAGGTGCTGGAAAAAGGGCATTGGTGCCTATGCTATGCTGGCTAGTGGGCACCTCCGGGCTCAGAGACACTTTGTCTGCTCATTGCACGTGAGCTCATTCATTCATTCATTCATTCAACAAGTGCTCGTGCGTGCTTCCTTTCCACACGGCTTGTCAGGGACGGCACAGAGAGGGATAAGCCCTGCCCCCAAAGAACTCCTTGAACTCGGCCTCACCCGAAGTGAGGCCCCAAAGAACTCCTTGAACTCGGCCTCACCTCACCCAAAGTGAGGCGCGGCTGGGTGGAGCTCTGCCCTCCACAGGCTCAAGGCAGTAAATGACAAGGAATGGGGCTGGAGAGGAGATAGGAGCCATATCCCAAAGGTGGGTGAGGGCGGTGGGCAGATTTAAACAGATGGCTGGGCTTGTTTTGGAAGGTAGCTCTGGGGTTTGAGGGGAAAGAAGGAGGGAGCAGACAGGACTGGAGGCAGGAGGCTCACAGTGGCTTAGCACAGGTGACCACAGAGCAGACTCTGGTGTGGAAGGAAGTGCTGGGCAGAGCACAGTGTCCTGTGGTGTGGGGGAGGGGCTAAGGAGTTCAAGACAACTCAGCTCTTCAGAAAATGGATTGGTAACGGAATACATGTGTCAATTTCCCTGAAATGGAGAGAAACTGAAAGCAAGCCATTTCCAAGATTGTAAGAACAGTAAATTTAATAAGGAAAAAACACTCAACAGCTTATTCTGAGATGGCACAGCGACCAGTAATGTGCTGACATCAGTGAGACCCATTTGTGACAGAATCACAGCTGAAATCGAATCTCAGTCTCACAGACACTGTCTGACAGACATGGGTGACAAGTGACCAAGCCAATCCTATGACTGTGGACTGAGCGCAGAGCTCCAGGGCCCACTGGTCTAAGGTGACCACATTCCTGGACTCTGGGCTAACACCCCACACAGAGGGGCTGCAAGGTGCACAAGATGGGGGATGGTGTGGAGCTTAGAAACCAGGGGTCTGGCACCCAACAGGGATGTGCCTGGATTTGAACAACTAGAATCCATTTTCTGGGAAGAATATAGACTTGAGTTGGGTTTGGGGCTTCTTTGCTCTAAAATGGTTCTCACAGAGCTGATTCTGCTTTGTCATCTGCGGCCCTGCATGCCCCTGCCCCTTCCCCCAGGCAGGGCCACAGTATTCCCACTAACCCTGCCAGGAAGGTGTGATCACACTCCTGTGGACACTGACAAGCATTTCTCACTCAGTTGTTCAGCCACCCCTGAGGAGGGCAGCCCCCAAAAAAGTCCCAGGACATCCCTGGACAGTGGCTGTGTCACAGGAGGTATTTCAGATCTCTAACTGTAAGACGTGCTTAAACTGCACTGCTGGAAAACACTGACCCCTCACTTGAGCCACGAATTAACTAAAAGCAGGAGAAAAGCTTGGCATCTCTCCTTCACTTCGTATCTGTCTCTGCTCTAAGCCATTCTCTTGCAGTCACTTTGCAATCATCTTAGATTCCAGGAAGGACAGAACTGATAACATCTTCATGGCAAGGGATAGAAATTACCCCTAATAGTACAGCCTCCTCAGGATGGACGAGTTGCCAGGCAATACTGACTCTGGAAAACAACTTCTCTGGAACTCCTGAAGAATAAGGCCACACCTGTGGCTGGGACTGTCTCACTATGCACACCTCTCCCCCTGGCCCCAGGCCTTTGTCTAAAGCTGAGGCCCACATCTGTACCTGGAAGATGGGGAGGATGGGTGAAGACGGACTGAATGCTTATTCTGCTTCTTCCCCCGGCATGTCCTGGCTGTGTAATAAATCTTTCTCTGCTCTTCACTATGTCTGTCTCGCTCTCTCCTTTTGGTGGGACTGGGGTTTGAACTCAGAGCTTCATGCTTACAAGGCAGGCACTGTACTACTTCAGCTACACTTCCCACCATGTCTCTTTATTTGGCTTACAGTGGTGAGTGGCCATAACTGACATGTGGAAGCCCAGGAGTTTGGGACCAGGGTTCAAAACTCTGGTTTCTCTATGACCTGTTTTACTTCTCACCCTGAGACGACTAAAGCTTGACCTCCCTGACAGCTCACAGGGGAAATGTTAAAAAATGAGGAACACAGAATCACTTCTCAAAGCCAACTTTGGCTCTTTGCCAAAGAAATGCACTCTAAATAAACTGTAAATATTTAATAAGCACAGTTCAGTGCACTCACATTTAGGGCACTAATTGCAGGCGTCTTTGAGGGGAGCCTGGAGAAGATGGAGGAAGTTCATCTCACCTGCCTGGGCTTTGAATATGGGGACAAACTCTGCCAAACAGCAGATATCAGTGGGGCCAAGGTCTTGGGGTGGTTTGCGCACCTCACAAAGACCTTGAGTTGCTATGGATCAGAGTTTGTCTAGGACCCATGCAGGGTCCAAGAAATTAGTGGAACTTTTCTCAGTGACAGGAGAAGGAAAAGTGGGCTGGTAGGTTCTGCAACAATGGAAAAGGAGACTCTTCTTTGACCTCCAAGAGTATTGTTTTTTGAGTAAATAATAATGTCTTAAGAGTAAATCTTAGCGTATACATAGCTGGTGATATTTGCCATCATAGGTCTCTGCACTGACTTGCCTGACCATGCTGGGCTCCAGCAAGGTGACCTGGGGGGAGTAAGGGGGATGGGCTGTAGGAGCCCTAGGAGGTGGCTCAGTGCCTCTGTGATAGAGGCAGGTCACAAGAGGAAGATGCCCTGAAGGGCTAGGATACCAAGACTTCAGAGATGAGAGTACAAGCCCAGGGGCCACAACTGCCCCCACCAGACTTGTGCCAGGAAATGCCAGACAGGTAGCAACTGACCAACAGCAACAGTCTCCCTGCACTTGAAGCCACTGAGGTGAGGCCAGGGGAGCCATGATGGCCTGCTGCCTGCCACAGCAACAAATGTGCAGGGGCTAGCCCACTTGGACCCAGGCACCACCTGCCCCTTCCCCACTGCTGTGTAACTGCTGGCCACTCTGCCAGCATACATTCCTTCCACCAAGCCCAGCACCCTGGCAGTGCTCACTGCAGCTGAGGGCCACAGCCAGTCTCTATCCCACCCAAATGTCCACGCAGAAGGTCCCAGACATACAGGGTTGTCCCTATGGCCTTTTTGGTGCGGCTTTTTCTCTGGGACTGAAAGGCCATGTAGCCACCCAAGGAGGTCACTCCAAGCAGAAAGTCTCACAGTCTTCCACAGAGCCACGCCCAACTCCCAGTGCTGGAAACACAGGGCACAGAGGGCATCAGGACTGGCCTGCTGACTCCTGGGTCCTCCTCCCCCATCCTCCTCCTCAAAAGGGGACTTGTGAAATGACTTTAGAGGATGCTTCACCTTTCATGCTAAGCAGAGGGCCGGCCTCTCCTCCACCTGCGGCCTGGAGGAGGCTGCCTGGGACTCGCAGAAGGCCTTCGTGAGGCTGGGGCTGCACAGGGTAGAAGTGGAGGGAAGTGGCTCGCAGGAGACCATTAGGCCATGCTGAGGCTCCCGCCTGGGCTCCAGGTGTCCATCCTAGCCAGCCCTGAGATGACTGGATACCCTGTCACTGGGGTGTGGACCCTTAGGATGGATGGTGGAGACAGGCACTTTCAAGCTATGTGACTCTCCTGGGGAGTCACCTATTCCTGTGGGCTTCTGCCCACCCTTGAGGGTCACAAGAGCCTGCAAGGCACCTGCTGTGTGCTAGAACCCAAGCGGGTGGCACCTGACACACAGCCTCTCATCTAGGCCTCACAGCGACTTCATGAGGTGGGAGTTATTCACCTGCTTAACAGGCAAGGGGACAGAGGCTCAGAGTGCCATCACACACAACCAGGAACGGCTGCAATCTCCAGGAGTCTGTACTGTCTTCCTGGATGGCCAACACCCTGTGGCTCTGGCACCACGGCCACACTGTGCTAGAAAACACTCATCTCCAGCAACATCCTTGAAGATGACTTGCCACAGGGCACAGGGCACAGGTCACAGGTCACTGTGGCACAAATCTCATGATATTCTCTTCCCACATGTGAGTCCTCCCTGGCTCATGCAGGTGACAATGTCTTAGGACAGCAAAAAGTTATGGAAACACCATGTGCTCCCGTGTTGTAGACATACGGACCTGAGTCAGCCTCACCTGTTGTCTGCTTCCTCTGCTCATCGAACAGATCAGCGGAACTTATGGAGGAGCTGGCCGAGAGCCTCTCCAGCCGGGCCCTGGTCTCATACTAGGGAAGACAGGAAAGGGAGCATTAGGTTCCCAACCTTGGGAGCAATTTTGCAAAAAGAATGCTGAAGGGCTGTTTAGAATGTGTTCGTCCCCTAGGCTCTGTCCCCAAGGTCACTGAGTGGTATGGCCAGGCCAGGCCCAGGGGATGGCAGGAAGCTCCTGTTCTGCGTGGCAGCCAGGTCACAGGCAGACAGATCAACAAAGGATGGCACTACCAACATGGGAAGCACTCAGGGCAGGACAGTGAGAGAGAGAATGAGAGACAGAACTAGAGAGTATGACAGAACGAGCGAGAACGGGAGACAGAACGAACGAGAACAAATTGCTCTCGTATGTTGCGTCCAGCTGCTGTCAGGAAAGGCCACCATGAGAAACTCTTCCAATGCCCATCACACATTTTAAAACTAAGCACGACAGACTTTATCATGACTATCTGTGTGTGTACAGTGCTGGGGGATGGACCCAGCGCCTGGGAAAAGCAAGTGCTCTGCCATGGAGCTGCACTCCAGCCCCACCATTGACTTTATTGTTGTTTTTTGGGGCACTCGAGTTTGAACTCAGAGCTTCACACTTACTAGGCAGGCACTCTACCACTTGAGCCACGCCCCAGCCCCCATCATCAACAAGGCAGGGGTTAGGGGCTGGGAGAAGAGGCAAGAGGCCACTCTACTGTCCAGTGCTGGTAGTGCTGAAAATAAAATTAGCATCCGGGAAAATAACTCTGCAGGTCCCAGAAGCCTAGCAATCCCCCCACCTCCAGGAGCTCGGCCAGAGCACACCACACTTCAGTAGAGAAGGCTGGGGCCCATCTGTGCCACCTGTCCCAGCAAACTCCACCCGAAGGGCCCCTTAGCATTTCTGAGGAGATGGCAACTGAAAGTGATGCATGTCCCCACAGCCTCTTCCTTTAACTGTGGTGGAAACTCTCAAGTCAACTACTATCTCAGAGGCCACCTGAAGTTTGTCCAGCAGCGATAGCGCAATGGTTACTCAACCCAGCTGCCCTCCCACTGGCGGCAGGCAGGTGACCAGGCAGAAGGCCTGGCTCCAGTCCTGCCCCTCCGCGGGCCCCCATATCCAACCTTCCTTCCTGTTTCTGGACCCCCCAGGAGCTCTCTGGACTTACATCAGCCTGGGATTGTCTTCCAAAGTACATGTCTGAGGAAATGGCCTTCACATTGCCAAACTTCTTCTGCGCCTCATCTGTACTGTCAGAGAGCTCATAGTCTGCCTTTCGGCGAGTAGTAGGTCTACAAGAAAAAACACCCAGAGGAGGTTAAACTAATTTGTGGTGAAGCAAATTCACTTCTCATTTATACATTTTTTTTTTTTTTTTTTTTTGCAGGACTACTCTTGTGGGGCAGGCACTCTGTCACTTCAGCCACTCTTGCTTTTTACCTGAGCCAGTTTGGGACCTACCTATGTTTCCCTCATGGCTGGATTTAGGCATGAACCAACCACTCTTGACTTGTTTTTGAAAATGGGGTCTTGCTAACTTTTTGCCAGGACTAGCCTCAAATCATGATCCTCCCTTAGCTGGGTGCTGGTGGCTCACACCTATAATCCTAGCTACTCAGGAGGCAGAGATCGGGGGATCATGGTTCAAAGCCAGCCCCAGGGAAATAGTTTGCAAGACCCTATCTCAAAAACACCCAACACAAAAAAAGGGCTTGGTAGAGTGGCTCAAGCGGTACAGCACCTGTCTAACAAGCATGAGGCCCTGAGTTTAAACCCAAGTACCATCAAAAGCAAAACAAAAAAACTCCCCCAAAAACAAACAAAAAACCATAACCTTCCCATTGTCTGCCTTCCAAGTAGCTGGGATTACAGATGTGAGCCACCATATCTGGACCTAATTTATACTTTACATAATATACATTTCACATTTTAAAAAGCCATAGCAATAATCTTGTAAAAGAATTTTAGGGTTCTTTAAAAAGCCTGCAGCTGGGTGCGGTGGCATACCCCTGAAGTCCCAGCTATTCAGGAGGTAGAGATTGGGAGGATTGGAGTTCAAGACCAACCTAGGCATAAAGTTAAAAGACCCCATATTACATAAGCTGGGCATGGTGATACATACCTATAATCTCAGCTATTCAAGAGGTATAGCTAGGAGGATCACGGTCCCAGGCTGGTCTGGGCAATAGGTGAGACCCTATCTGAAAAGTAACTAAAGCGAAAAGGGCTTGGGGACTGGCTCAAGTGGAAGAGCTTCTTCCTAGCAAGTGTATAGCCAAGTTCATATCCCAATACAAAAAAAATTTAGCTCAAAAATCCTAATTAAAAAATGATTTGAACATAAAGGAGTCCCTGCTTGAAATGATCTGTTATTTTACATTTCAGACACATTAGAAAACTGCCTGCATTATGTGTGCAGGGAGGACCTGCTCTCCAATACGTAGGACATAAACTGAGTAGGGCACCAGACGTCCCAGTTACCCAGGGCAATCGCAGGTTACACACGTGGTGCCCCTTACACTCTCAAAAGTTGCCTTGTTTGGAGCATAAATGATACGGTACTTCTTTCATGATCACTCATGGAGAAAGTCCTTCACTCTCAGTGGATAAACAGACCTGGCAATGAGGACGGAAAGACATGGCAACAGCTGGATACACGAGTTACGAAGCCAGCCTGGGATGACCCACCCACATGGCACCCTAGCAGGACAGGAAACAGACCAGGGGTGGTCAGGGGGCTGAGTACAAAAGAGTGCAGAGGAGATTGGTGGTTGTGTTTGTGAAAACTGGCCCAACTAAGCCAGACATGGTGGTGTCTGTAGTCCCAGCTACTTGTCAAGCCAAAGGCAGGAGGCCAGCCTGGGCATCTTGAGACCCTGTCTCAAAATGAGCTGAAATAAAAAAGAGCTTGGAATATAGCTCAGAGGTAGGGAACTTGCCTAGTATGCTCTGAGGCCCTGGGTTTGATCCCAGCACCAAAACAACAAAAACAAAAGACCCTCACAGAACTGATACCTAAAAAAGAATTTTTACTGTTTGCGAACAGTGCCTTCAAATGGGGCACAATGACTCACTCCTTGTGTGGCCCCCCAGCCCAGGGACTCAGAGCCCTGAGGAAGAGTACATTATGCTTGTTTCATGACAGTTCCATAGGTACTTCTGATAAAGAGCGACTTGTCTAACACACACGTTGTCTTGAAACAAACAGCATCACAGAGAACTATGAAAGGTCTCAGGCACCCCATTACCAGAGCTTTCCAGGGACACCTGGGCTCCGCACTGCAGCCCCAGTGTGCAGCTCTGACCTGTCTGAGGAGCCTGGGCCTTTCACAGCTGTCTCGGTGTCTCTGTTCATCTCCTTTTTCCAGTAGGTATCTGCAGGGTCATCCCAGCTAGAGAAGGAGCTGCCTCTTAACTCCATGGGGTCATCAAAGTACCTGTAGGAACAAAAGGGGACAGTGACTCGAGAGGCCTCATGGATGTTGACTTTTACCAGACTCTCCCAGATAGGTTTAACTACACTTCTTTGCTCTCCTGGGCTTAGGGGCAGTCATGTGACTAGATGTGGCCAAGGAACAGGGGCAGACAGGATGTGTGTCATTCACAAGGCCTTTCCAGTGACTGCTCAACACAACCTGTCCCCTCTTTTGGGGATACAGTAAAGAGGTCATGTTTTCCACATGTTGAAGCCTCCAGCAGGTGAGAGCGCCATTAGCCTGGACAGATGGGGAGCTACATGGGAAAAGGGAACTCCAGACTCACAAAGATGACTTTCTATACAGAGAAATAAACTGCTGTGTGTTGAGCCCTTGAGAAGTGGGGCTGTTTATCACCACAACACAGCCTGGCCTGTCTGCACAACACGAGACAGCTGAACATGTTCTTCGCCACAGTCACAGAAGGCATTTGAGAATGCTCTCTCGAGAAGCTTCTGGCTGGCATGGTGAGCACATTCACAAGCACCAATGATGTAAAGGATGCTCGCTGACCTCCCCGTGGAGACTGGTCCAGCCACTGGTGGGTGCCAAGGAAGTGCCAGAACTGGGCTGGGGGAGGCTGGGACGTGCAGATTTTCGCAACTCAGATTCTGGTACTTAGAACTGTGTAGACTTAGCATCACTCTAAGGAAATGACATTCTTCACTTACACAGGTCGCAGTGCTTGTCCTGGACTGGAGGCCAGCAGGTTACTTCCAGACTGCTGGACTATCAGAAGCTGACAGGCAAGAGGGAAAGCCCTCTGCCTGCATCCCCTGACCAGCCCACAGGTGGGAGGCTTCCCTTCCTACACTCACCCACGAGGGGCTCTGGGGGACACAGTCACCCAGCCAGGCCTGCACTGCTGTGGAAGCATGGCGTGAGCAGGTCTGAACAGCAGCATCAGTCTCTGCAAGTCTCAGCATCGTCATCCTTTACTGCCATCTCATGTTTGAGTTTTAGACCCCAGTCCACCACACTGCTTTTCTCTTTGTTAGCCCTCCCATGAGGCCCTCACTCCACACTGAAAACAGCCCTCAAAGTCCATGGGAAGAGCCCAACTGTCAGAAGGTCAAGGGTTGCACTGAAGGCCTCACTGACTATAGGGCTCAGCAGCGTGTGTCAGTTCCATTATTGTGAACTCAGTGTATCACTGCATTGTTTATATCCTGGGAAAAATGGAATTCGGTAGAAAACAAGAGCCAAGGATGTGCTCAACCTTATTTTTAATAGAAACAGCAGTCTTTCATAATTCATAATATGCAAGTTCTAATGGCTGATGAATAATCTGGAAGCAATAAGAGCTCTTTGTGGCACTAATGTGCCGGCTTTCAGAGAGTCTGTAATCATTTTGCTTCAGGTGCCAAAGAACCTAATTGTATCCAGCTCTGTTGATAGTGGCCATCAAGCAAGGAGGATTGGAGAGGCATTTGTGTCCCTAGACAATCTGTGGGTCACCATGCACATCTCACCAAGGTCTCTGTGGCAGGAGTCGAAGCAGCCTGGTCTACATCAAAACACCATTTGCTCCCAGGTTTCAAACAGCAAACAACTGTTCCTTGGCAAAAGAGGCCTTTAGGACTAAAGCTACTGACCGAGCCTTGGGGGATGGGTTCCTGAAGACCCTATAAGGTTGACACAAAGCCCAGCAGGAGCTTGTCCATGACCTGAGGCCATGAGGACCTGGGAAGGTCCCACTCAGCAGGTGACTTCACTTGGAGCCCTTTCTCTTTCCAACCTTGCTATCAGGTGACAGTACTGGCAGTGTGAAATTTACTCTTTCCCTTCCTACACTGACATCTGCTGGCACTGCTCACGGGCAGTGACATCATCAAAGGGTGTGGAGATGGCAAACAGACCAATGCCAGGAGCTTCCTCTAACCCCAGCTCATTCCTTCACTTAATATCTATATCTGAAATCATGCAACACAGTTTCCAAATCAAATTATAGATTTAATTTATCTGGCATAAATTGTATTGAAATGCTTTTAAAGGGTGTGGTTTGGATATAACCCTAAACAAACTGAAACCCATGCTTATCCAGGGGATAAAAGACAGGCAAATATGGCAGCATTAAAGTCGCTGAAGGTCCTGACCACAGGCACCACTCAGCTGCTAACTTTTTCTTACTACTAGGAACTCAGTAATTTGGAACTATACTTACAAAATTTTTAAGGATAGTACTTTTTACACAGATCCTTGTTAAAAAAATTCACAATTAGATTCTAGCTAACATATATTGCTGTGTCTTATTTATGAAATAATCTGTTACCCACTTGCAACGGGAAGCACCTCTGGGATGGAGGCATGGTTAACGTAACTGCGTAACGACAGTCACTAACCATTTGCTGTCTTTTGATGGGGTTTCTCTGTTATAATAGCTAGTCATCACAAGAATCAAACACTCTTCCAAGGACTCTCTTAGCAGTCACTCATTTCTCCCCCATTCTTCTGAGCCACTGCTATGAGCCCTGCTTTACACAAGAGGAAACTGAAGCACAGAGAGCTTAAATAACATGATCTAGGTCATCCAGCCCTCACGTGGCAGGGAGGTTGCCTGGCTCCTGCACCTACATGCTAACACCTTTGTTCTGCAGTTCTGCTCACCATCAGAGACATGCCAGGCTCACCTGGTGCCTGTGAGGATCCAGTTCTTGGAGGCCCTCACAAAGCAAGATGACTAATGATGAGTCTTGTTCTCCCTGCCTTTCAGGCTGCTGGAACCTGAGAAATGCATTCCCCATGGTCGGCTTCCCAATAGGGCCGGCCATATGTCTTGCGCCAATCAGACAGTGTGTGAAGGACAGGGACCCAGGCTGTACTGTGGGATCCCAAGTGGAGCCGTGGATTTCGCTAATAAGCACGCATACACAAATGGCATTTATTTAACACTCCATCCTGCCAGATGCAGCCTCCTGAAGCTGGTGTTCTGCAACCAGAGGACCTGTGTGACAGTCCACCTGCTGTCCTGACTCTTGCAGCTCTGTCCTGTAGGCAGGAGTTTGCACACTCTCCACTAGATAAACATGTCTCTCCTTGTCCAGCTTTAACTCTATGTTGCTGATTGTATTAGCAAACACTGTCCACTTATAAATGTTTCCCAGTTTTCATTGCAAAGACAGACTTGGCGCCAGGCACATTGATTTCTACTTGCTCCTAAGGCAAGCCAACTAATAACCCATGGCAGCCGCTGTTTTTCACAGAGGCTTAATGATGATCATTAATAGATTACCTTGAGCTGGAAGTAAAATATGAGTCATCGTTGTCCTCATGGTACTTTTTTCTTGGTTTTGCCAGGGTGGGAGACTCCTGTTCTATGATCTGCATATCTGAAGTCACTGAATGGGAAATGCCACTTGAGAAAACAGAATAAAAAAGGAAAAATTACACCACTTACTCATAAGACTTTCGTCCTGGTGAATGAAAAAAATGAATGTGTTAACCTACATTTTGAACAAAGACAAATTTATCGGTAGGGTTAACAGGAGCAACAAAACAATTTTTCTGGCTTAAGCTTTGAAAACATGAACTCTTTGTAAGTGGTGACTACGGAGGACACAGCCACACACGTGGGTGCACTGTGGCATCCATTCCAGTATGTACTTAATGAAAAGTCACACCTGTGTTCCTTTTCCTCAGGAAAATGGCTAGAGTGAAGCCAAAACAAGGGCAGAAATACCAACAAAATGCCTCTCAAGTTGAAATGAACACAGCCAACATGACGTCACAGTGAGCAAACTGCACCAAACTCTGAAATCCAAGAAAACTGAGCCTCACATACCTCCTGGAATTTCCAAGGCCCATGCCCAGCCGCTCTGCTTCCACCTTTTTTTTGCCACTCGTGTTCATCTTTTCATCTTTCTTCATTTGAATTTCAAGATCCTTATAGGCTAATCGTAATGAGGAAACACTGCCAGAAAAACCAATGTTCCTTAATTTAGGTTTAATCTTATGTGCTTACTTGAAAATGCTAAGCGAAATCAAACCTGCAATGCATTCTTTTACCCTCAAGTCTTTCTGTAGTTAACAACTGTGATGGCAGGCTGGCGTCTTTTTCAAGTAGATGCTCAAGGAATTTAAAGGATTTGACAGCCATTTTTGCCTGCTGCTCTTAGAGGTTAACTCACATGACCTTTTATTGTCTGATATTATCATATATGCCTCAGTTACTTCCCTACAAGGCAGTAAAGGGCAAGACTTCCCCCTTGGATTGCTACTTGATTACACTTCCCCATGACATATTATACAGAGTATGAAGTTAGTCCCACTGGTCAGCTGTGATTTAAGATAAAAAAAACCACATACACATACACACACACACACACACACATAAACACACACAAACATACACATACACACATACATTAGACTTCATAAGTAGATAAACTAAGGAGGGACTGATTAATTGAACAAGGATTCTTCAGTTTATAAAAGTATTTCCTGTAGAGTCTCTATGTAATCAGGCTTTGAAGAACACTGAAAATGGGGGGGGGGGGGCTGGTGGAGTGGCTCAGGTGGTACAGCACCTGCCCAGCAAACAGGAGGTACTGAGTTCAAGCCCCAGTACCACCAAAAAAACCCAAAAAGGAACCAAGTCCTTTCAATCTAGCCAGGCGCTGGTGGCTACTCAGGGGATCAGGGGATCGTGGTTCGAAGCCAGCCTGAGCAAATAGTTCTGTGAGACCCTATCTTGAAAAAACCCTTCACAAAAAAGGGATGGTGGAGTGGCTCAAGGTGTAGACCTTGAGATCAAGCCCCACTACTGCAAAAAAAAAAAAAAAAAAAGCCCTGTGATAACACAGGGATGAAGATGAGGACAGAATTTCTAACGAGGAACAGTTTGCTTTTGTTCTTTCCTTCTGTTAATGACATAGCAGGATTTCCTTGGTCTGCTTTAATCTGGGAGGATTTTTCCCCTTTAATACTCCACTATAGAACATATTAAGTTATTTTCTTCCTTAGCAAATAAACAATATTCTTTCAAGTATAACTTTTTGGGGAAAACAATAGATCTCTTTAAAACCACAACAGATACATAGCTTCAGCAAGAGAATCTCCTGGTCAGGAATAGAAAGCTCTCCTGGAGAGAGGTGACTGCAGTTTCCTCCCTAGGGTCTGATGGGGACGGTCTGTTGTGGTAAAGCTTGTGCTTCAATATCTACTGGAAGCACTAACAGAGCAAAGCAGTCAGAAATTGCACCATGGTTCTCAGAAGTACAGTGCTTCCTGGGACTGGCTCAAGGAAGGATACTCCTTGCAGGACACTCAGTTCCTATCTGCTCAGTGACAAGCAGAGCAGCTCAGGCAGCTTGACCTGTTCCCATCCTCCCCACAAGGGTGCACACAGAGGGCCCACAGGAGCTGAAAACTGTCAGAAGGCCAGGATCAGGGCACTGCCCAAGACATTTAGCTTTACACTCCGAAGGTGCAAGAAACAACACTGTTCTCAATAGTTTACTGAATTGTTCATTAGTAGCTATTAAAAACATTAACTTGCTGAATAACACCCTCATACTTCCTCCTGACTGGCACAGCACTGGCTTGTGACAGAGGGAGAAAAGTCTAGGCACAGGGTTCAGGCACAGGGCTTATGGGTGCCCTGAACAAGGCTGAGAAAGATGCCAAATTGGGTCCCCAAGCCAATTTCTAAATAGCCCCTGATCTGTCTGCATCTATGCTTTTATGATGTGTGAGTTCTAAAGAAAAACACCAGCGAAGGCTGGGTGTAGCTCATGAATATGCTAATCTGTTTCTGGCTATGCTATCTCAGCTACCTCACTGCAGGAAGGAAGCTGTCCCTGACTCTGGTCCTTCTTCTATTCCCCATTATGTTCTCTGGGAAGCCTCAAGTCTGGGCAGAGACCACTTCCAAACAGCAAAGCTGAACCTGCCCCCTTGCCCAGGACCAGCAACCTCCCCTGGTAAGAGAAATTCAAGCCTGTGACACTGCATGCAGTTTGTGCAGGTCACCTCTGATTTCACGTGACCTGGGCCTCCCTTGTGTCTTCCCCTCAGTGAGCCAGGGTGTGAACAGTAACAAATTGCACCTGCTGAGCACCTGTGACTGAGCACCTGCTGCCTCATGGAATAGGTGTGCTCAGCTTAATAACATACACATGAAAGTAAGAAGACAGCACAGAATGACAGACAGTGTAACAGGACTCCAGGCTGCCTTTCCTTTCTGTGTTGCACAGACCCCCCTTCTCCCCACTCCTCTCCATGGATCAGCCTGTCTGGACGTTTCATATGACAGGATCATACACTAGGTGGCGCTCTGTGACTGGGGCTCTTTTATATCTCCTCCATGTTGCAGCATGCATCAGCATTCATCACTTCCTGTGGTGAATGATATTCTCTTTCAAGGCTAGACTGCATTTTGTTCGTTCCCAGTTTAGCCGTGTGGTGTTTCTACTCTCTGACCATCGGGATTCGTGCTGGTAAGGACATTCGTGCACACGAACGTCTTTATGTGCACGTGTGTTTTCATTTGAGTTGCTACGGAGGAGGGTACTGCTGGTCACGTGACACCTTGACATTTGCTTTTGTATAGGTACTGAAACGGGCCTTGTGAAGATTCAGCACCTGTTCTACCACAGAGCTAGGCAACACTCCTTACTAATTTTTTTTTTCTCTTTTGGGTGCTGGGGATTGAGCCAGGGCCTCAGGCATGCTAAGCATGGGTTATATCACTGAGCTGGGCCCCAGCCTGTCTGCTCTACCACCAGTGCCCTCACTGGTCCGAAGCTGTCACTCATGAGGTCCAGATCTGCTGAGCATCCTTCAGATGTAAGCACCCCGCCACGTGTCCCGCACCACCCACACAGGACTTGTGCACCTCTCTTGGCTACCAGTCCTGACCCTTCCAAACGCCAATGCCTACCAGTTTTCATAACACTACACTCTGCACCACCATCCACCTGGAGCTGTGGAATTAATAGCTTTGGTCCCTGAAGGCGCATCACACAGTAACAAAATCAAACTTACACTGATTCCTCCTTAGGTGCGGCCTTGGCCAGAAGGTCTTCCTGCTCTTTCATCCTATCCACGGCCTGCGCTTGTTTCTCCATTTCAGTAAAGCACGTATTGGCCACTTTCTGGGCTCCTAAGCTTCCTTTTTTGGCCCCAAGCTGGAACATATATAAGATTATATTCTACCCAAGCTGTTTGAAAAACCTTGTACCTGCAGGTAACACATGCTGAGGCCTATCCTGAGACAAGCACTGACATTTGTTCTCTTGCTTCATTCTCACAACTCTAAGGCGGGCATTATCATCACCCCAGTTTACAGATGAGGATACACTTGCCCTTGCCAGTTAAGAAGGAGGTACAGGTAAAGCAAGGGCTCAAAGTCTGGCTCTGCCTCCAGGAAAGGATCAATGGCACACTCTCCACACGACTGCCCTCCAGTCCTCCCAGAAACACGGGCAGGAGGGAGAGATCTTGCTGGATCCTCTTCATTGTTTTCGAATTGTGTCACAGGCACAAAAAATGTTAGACATTCATTCCAGAAAATACCAACTAAGTATAACATCCATCTCATTGAACAAAATAGACAATCAAAGCCACATTTATTATATTATGATTCAAAATAAAAAACAGATGAAATTCACAAGAGAAAGTGGTTCTCTAGTTTCAGAGCCAAACCAACATGCATTTTAGTTGCTTTCCACCCTTCTAACTCCCCCTCAGTATTAGGCTTTTTGTTTTTTCTGTAGCACTGGAGTCTGAACTCAAGGCTTTGTGCTTGCTAGGCAGACAGTCTACCCTTGAGCCATACCTCCAATCCCAGCATGCATTTTATATAAAACATAATACTCACTCCTCTTTTAGCTTGATTTGGTTTCTTTTTTATGATAGATGAAACCTCTGCCAAAAAATAAAAACTAAAGTCAGATAAACAGGAATCATACATAATTTTTCTACATAGTGGTCTTTTGAACAACTACAAGATGTTGGTGGTATTAGCACGCACTATAACATTCTCCGTGTTAGTTGGTCATCCAGTGAACTCACACATCTGAATTACATCTGGTACACAAGCAGGGCTTAGTCAGCACAGTGTCCTTGGTATTGCCACCCACCTTCCAAACTCACAGAAAACACATTTGTTTGAATGTGGCACTGAAGAGAAATAGGGCCAGGCTTGTCTCATTCAGCACTTCCTCAGGAGCATTTGAAAATGCATGCAAGAACCAACTCTCCTATTAATCTCTACTCATCAGAACGTCTAAGGTTATTTTATGTTGCTATTATTTCACTTCTTTGTGTATTTTGGTGCTTGTGTATGCACCCAGGGCTCACGCATATTAGGCAAGTAAGTGCTCTTCTGATCAACCATGTCCCCATCCCTGTTATTTATTATTGTTACTATTTTATGGGGCTCAGAATTGATCCCAAGGCCTCAGGCATGCCAGGTGGCTGCTCTACAACTGAGTTATGCCACTAGTCCCTTAAAAAGTATTTTCAATTGTAGGCCAGGAGCAGTGTTCACACCTATAATCCCAGCTACTTGGGAGGGGGAGATTAGGAGGATTATGGTTCAAAACTAGCCCGGGGATGGGAGAGAAGTTATTGAAACCCCACCTCAACAAAAAAGGCAGGCATAGTGGCACATGCCTGCAAGCCCAGCTACTTGGGAGGCATAGAATCATGGTCTGAGACTGGTGCCTAGGCAAAAACGTGAGGCCCTTTCTGGAAAATAATCTAAATCAAAAGGGGCAGGAGGCACGGATAGAGTGATAGAGCCCCTGTTTTAGCAAGTATAGGGCCTTGAGTACAAACTGCAGTACCACCAAAAAGAAAGAGGAGTGCTTGAGCTATAAGATCAGCTGGCTCTTGTGTGCAGGTGTCGTTGGGATCCCGTCACACTAGCATGGAGAAATGGGACGCGCTCTGCCATCTTAGCGGCTGCGCCTTCATTACTTCTCAGCCTTTGGCTAAGAATATGCACTGCTTTTATTTTTTGAAAATTATTCTGAGTAAATTTCAATCAACACTTTTAAATTTTGTTTTTAGAATTATCTTTAAATGACCCAGCAAGAGTGAAATCTTAGGCTTGGGGTGTGGCTCAGTGGCAGAGCGCTAGCCTCCTATGCATGAAGGTGTGCTAAGGGCTCATCTCCAACACCACAACAAAAAGGGAAAGAGGACAAGATCACAAGAGCCAAAGACCAGGCACTAGCTGGAACCACAGAACAATGCTGCACTGTGGTGGGAGGAACACCATGCACAGAGCCCCCTTCCACACTCTCTTTTACATTTATACTGCAGCTGTCACATCACCTCTGGTGAGTCTCACAGCCGGTGAAAACCATAGGAACACTTCTAGGCAGTTCAGCTATAATAAAAAAATGAGCATCTAAGTTCATCTACTACGAAATCAGAAAGAGAAGATGCTGAGTTCCTGACTAAACAGGAAGGGTGTGGAGGCTCTGAGCTCTGCTTAGCTTGGGAGTATCAGTGACCCAATGTAACCCAGCTTGTCACGTGCACCAGCAGCAATCATGGCTAAAATGGAGCAGTACATTTGCCTAATAAAACCTCATTAATGGGTTTAGTCATGGGCAGAATGCAGACACAGAATTCATTTTTTTTCCTTAATGAATCTTACCCTACAAGTCAGATATAGGGCTCTCAGCATATTACCTAAAGCAGCCTTCCCTGGGGCATTAAGGCCTTCCACACTTGGTCCTTGTTCTGGTTTACCTGAAAATATAAAACACCGACATCAATGCAGAAAATACACTCAAGCTTGCTTTAGAGTGTGCAATAACTCAGCTTGCTCAGTCCTCTATGCCTCATCTAGTCTGTCAACATCACCCTTCTTTGTAGCTTCGTATTAGATACATACATATTTGGTGCTGGGGATGGAACCCAAAGTCTCATACAAACCAGGTAAGAGTTCTACTGCTGAGCTATATCCCTAGCCCTTAGCATTAAAATCATTTAAAATATTTTTTATTTTCAATGGACACATAATAGTTGTAAGTATTTACGTTTCTCACATAACTGGGATGACAGGTATGTACTGCCACACCCATATTTTTGTTGGTTGAGATGGGGTCGTAAGATGGGGTCAAGGCTGACCTTGAATGGTAATCCTCCAGATCTCTGCCTCCTGAGGAGCTAGGATTATAGGAGTGAGCCACTGCACCCAAACTTAATTTCTGACAACAGTGATCCTAATGTGCTATAGAACATTACAATTATTTCTCCTATGCAGCTGCATGCCTGTACTCATCAACCATCTTTTCTATGTCCCCTTCCCTTATCATAAAAAATTGATTTAGGCTGATGGAGTGGCTCAGGTGCTAAAGTGCCTGCCTGGCAAGCATGAGGCCCTGAGTTCAAACCTCAGTACAGCAATAAAATAAAATAAATTTCATTTAAAAGTCCATCAAAATAGAAGTATATTTTTTATCCAGTGGTTTTATAGAAGAAACATGTCAGTGGTCTCTTCAATTAGCTCTGTTCAGAGTTTCCTCTGAACAGAGATCTCTGATCTGGTGTTTCACAGTAACACATTTTGAGCTTCCTAGTACAGATGTGCAGGTGAAGACATGGACATACTAATGCTAGATGATGGGAGTCCAAGTTTCAGTTGTCAAGAATGATCTGGTTAGGAACTATACAACAGCCTCATTTGAAATATGCTTTGTCAGCCAGGTGCTGATGGCTCACACCTGTAATCCTAGCCACTCAAGAGGCAGAGATTAGGAGGATCACATCTGAAACCAGCCCGGAAAAACAGTGCTCAAGAACATATCACAAAAATACCCAACACAAAAAAGGGATGGTGAAATGGCTCAAGTGGCAGAGTTCCTGTCTAGCAAGCATGAGGCTCTGAGTTCAAACTCCAGTACTATCAAAAAAATATATATGCACTGTCATTTTAATTTGATTTGATTTTTTACTTTAAAATGGCTAAACAAGGACCAGATGTGTGGATCAAACAGTAGAGCATCTGCCTTGCAAGCATAAGCCCTGAGTTCAAATCCCAGTCCCACCAAAAAAGAAAATAAGCAAGCAAACAAAAATAAAATGGCTAAATAAAACGTAGTAAACCCATGCAATAGAACAGTAGACTAGGTGGATGTCGGGGTGGAGGGAAATAGGGAGAGACTAGGATCGGAAAGGAGCTTCTTTTGGGGGCTGCTGAAAATATTCTGAAATCAGTGGTATTTGTGGCATTATCTTGTGAATATACAAAAAAAACACTGAATTGGATACTTTAAAAGGGCGGATTATATGTCAATAAAACTGTTATTTTAAAATGTCAACCCAGTGGTGGGTTAGAGGAAGCTATGCTTGTTTTTATAATTATTTGAAAGACAAACCCTGTGTAAGGCAAAGCAGGAGTGAACACAGGATATCCTGTGGAGAAACAACTGAGCACAGATTTCTGCCAACCCAGGGCCTGCTGTGGGTGCTGAGGGCCGGCTCCCTCCTGCAGCGGGGAGCCGAAGCATCCGCGCCCACACTACCTTCTTCAAGCTTGGTTGTTTCCTTTCCATGTTATCATCCTGGAGTCCATGTGGACGCTGCACCTCGTCACCCCACGCTGGCCCAGAAAACCTGGGTGAAACCTCATACCCTGGTCCCCCAATCACAGCTGCTTGAGAAACTTGTGATGGAGAAGAAAGTGCTGGTGCACACAAAAAGAAAACGGAGTCTACAGTCAGGCCTCCTAGGAGCGGCTCTTCGGTCCAGTTTGGATCACAAGAACAAAATCTGGCTCCGAGTTCAGTAAGCCAGGTTTCTGAGGCATCTGTACTGTGGATGTCACACTTAATCCCCTATGGTCCAGGACCTTCAGTCTTAAAAGGCCTTTCATCCCAGCAGCAAATTGTAACAGTAACCACAAATTGTACCTATCCTTCCTGAAGGCACATAACCCACCTTCCTCCTGTTCGTTAGGAAGCGCTGGGGTTATTTTTTCTCCTCTCTCTTTATGGATAATGGGACTCCTCATCTTTAAAAAGAATCACTCCTGCAGGAGTCACAGCCCAGTGGAAGGACCACAAAGTGACATGCAAACTAAGGGAGATGATAATTTCCAGAGCAGGGTGTGCTGTGCCACGAGGAAGACAAAGTACATAAGTGCAGCTGTGACTGGGAGTGCCACTGGCTGGACTTGGAGGTGAACCTCCAAAAAGGAGACAGCTGTGCCAATCAAGGCAGAGGCACATTTTAAGCAGGACAGAACAGACACAGGAAAGACAGAAGGGCAGAGTGGCTCTAAGTCCTCTAAGTCTAAGAAGGCTAAGCCCCAGTTAGAGGCATGGAAAGGCCTTCTTTGCAAGCATCTAGTCACATGCATAAAAAGTGAATATGAAAGAAACCCAGAGGTTGCAAATCATGCAAAAAACACAGCTATGTCAAAGTTCTCTGACTGCTAAGGAACAAGCCTTTTGTCTATATGTGAATTGCAAATGTTTGTCATCTGTCTTCACATTAAAGACTTTTCAGAATGGAAATGTTAAATTTGCACATAGTCAGATACTTAGGTTCTTCCTTTTATGAGGTTTGTTTATTTATTTGAGACAAGGTCTCACTTACAGCCCAAACTGGCCTTAAATTTATGATACTCCTGCCTCTGCCTCCCCAGTGCTGGGATTACAGATGTGCACCACTACATCGGGCTCTTTCATGAGGTCTGAATATGCATGGGAGTACTCCCCACTCCAGAATTACAGAAGAGCTTCCCGTGTTTTCTTCTAGGATTATCTATTTCATTTTAAATCCTTGATTCATCTGAATTTAGTTTGGTAAAAAGCGAAAGAAGGAAGCCAGGCACAGTGCCTCATGCCTATAATCCTAGCTACTTGGGAGGCTGAGATTGGAAGGATTGTGGTTCCTGGCCAGCCTGGTCAAAAAAAGTCGACGCGACCCCCCACCTCAACAGAAAAAGTTGGGTTGGTGGCACACACTCATCGCCCCAGCTACAGTAGGAAGTGTAAAATGGGAGGATCGTGGCCCAGGCAAAAAGCAAGACCCTATCTCTAAAATAACCAGAGCTAAAAGGAGTGGAGGCAGGGCTCAAGTGGTAGAGTGCCTGCCTAGCAGGTTCAAGGACCTGAGTTCAAACTCTAGCACCATCATATTTTTTTTCTAGAATGTCAAAGAATCCACTGTTGCCCAGGATGAGAAATGTTCCCGTCCTGACCCCTGATCTATCTACTTCTGTCCCAGTAAAATGAAACCCAGCAGTGTTGAGTCTGTGGTTTGATGGACTTTCATACACTCCCATCCTCCCACCTGTAATTCAATACTCAGGAAGCAACCCTCGTCTTTATGACATACACTGTGACTCCACTCTGGTCCTTTCTCTCCCATAACTATTCTTGACACACAGCACCTAGTTTCCATTCCTCCAGCAAAGGCTTTGCCAGAAATTTTCTAAATACTGTCGCCCAACCTAAAGGCTGGTGGCTGCTCAGTCTCTCCCAGGACACCAAGTTCTTTAAGTTGTTCAGGCTCAGTCTGTACAACCAGCACTTCAGCTACCATGGCCCCAAGTTCACTGCTTAGTTGTCAAAAGTTATATTTTTGCTCTTAATGTACAGTAACATTCTGGCTAACAAAACATGCTGAATTTTAAAACAGAAAAAGCTGACTGTACATTCCACTTAATATTTCACTTTTAATATGCAAGCAATTGCTAGCATATTACAATAAATATAATCCCACAATAAGGTCATCAAATGTGAATCCTTGAGTGTCAAGTATTTGTATGACAGTTTTAAAACTGAAATCTTGTTTTCGGATTATAAAAGTAACACATACTCGTAAAATTTAGAGACTTCAACATGGAGTTAAGCAGAGGCTATAAGTCCTCAGTAATTTCATTCTCTAGTTAACAATTTGATGTGTGCCCTCCAGAATGTCTTCTGGGTATATATGCTTTTGCTTTTTTTTTTTTAAACAAGAACAAGATCATACTCCATGTTTAGTTATCTTCATACTCTACCATGGACATCTCTTCCTGTGAACACGGAAGAGCCAATACCTTAGATTAACTCAGAGCATGCCACTGAACTGTAGACTAGCATTATCTGACCGTTCCACGGACCCCACCTTCTGCATTTTCTGGAGTGGTTTCCACAGCCTGTGGCGTTAAAGGAGATGGTTCTGGTTGTGCTGGTGCCTGCACTGTGCCACTCACCTGCAGCAAGGTGGGAAAAGTCATTAGCAGACGAAGCAAGAAAACCATCATAAAAAACAAACAGGGGCTAGGCATGGTGGCTCATGCCTGTAATACCAGCTGTGAGGGAGGGAGGCCTAAGTAGGAGGATCGTAGTCCAAGCCAGTTCATGCAAAAAACATGAGACCCTATCTGAAAAATAACTAACAGCAAAAAGGACTGGTGAAGTGTTTCAAGTGGTAGAGTGACTGCCTAGCAAGCGTGAGGTCCTGAGTTCAAACCCCAGTGCTGCCAAAAAAACCATTCAGCATAGGGAAAAAATCTAGCCATGTAAACAGCCACTCTCCAAGTAGCTGCTTGGTGAAAAGGGTATTAAAGCTTGTCTATTCTTGGGGTGAGGCATGGCTCAAGCAGTGTGAGACCCTGAGTTCAATCCCTAGTACTGACAAAAACAAAAACACATCTATTCTTACATCTGTTTTAATGGTTAAATGTCTTACTTTCCCTCCTTTTATAAAATTAAAAGAAAAATTAGGTAATAATTTCAGATTTGCACAAAAGTTGCAAAGATAGTACAGAGAGTTTCCATGTCCCCTTCCACTCAGCTTCCTCTGATGTTGGGAGACACATGGCACAGCTGTCAGACTAAGAAATTACTTCTGGTTCAACGTGGTCAGCTAAACTTGAGGCTTTCTAAGGGATCCACTGGGTTTCCTACCGCCTTTTCTTCTGCTCCAGGACCTTACACTGCACAGAGCTGTTGTGCCTCCTTGGACTCTTGTGATAGTTGCTCAGTTTTTCATGACCTTGAAACTTTGGAATGGTACTAGCCAGCCACTGTATAGAACATCCCTGAGTTTGGTTCTTGGATGCTGTCTCATGATAAGACTGGGGTTTGGGAGAATACCACAAAGGTGACGTCCTCTCTGGTTGCATGTCAACATGACTCAACACTGGTGACATTAGCCCTTGATCCCTTGGTTAAAGCAGAGTTTGCCAGTTTTCTCCTCCCTTCCCATACTCATCTTGGGAGGTGACTCACCAGGCCCAGCCCACACTGTAGGGTCAGGAGCTAAGCTCCACCTTCTGAAAGGGAGAGTCTCTGTCTCCAATTCATGATTTGGAATTCTTCAATAGGAAGGTTGGTCCTTTCTCCCCCATTCAGTTTTTTACTCATTACTTAAATCAGTATGGACTTGAGAATATTTATTTCAGTCTGTGGATTATAATTCAATACTGTCATTATTTTATTGTTTAAATTGCTCCAGCTTTGAGCATCTGGAGCTCTTTCAGGTTGGCTGCAGAGTCATTTGGAAAATGTCCTATCTAGTTTTTCTCAGTACTTCCTTGCTTTCTCTTTTTGTTTTGGTTTTGGTGTGACTGGGGTTTGAGTTCATAGCTTGGCATTGGCAAAGCAGGTGCTCTACAGCTCGAACACACCTCTAGCTCTTCCTTCCTTTCTATTTCTAGCACTAAAAGATGGTCCAGGCTCATCTGGCCCCAGCAGCCTCAGCTGCCATTTCTCCAAAGGTAGCACTGGCTCCTTTTATTGGAGAATGGTACTTAGAGACCAAGACCTGGATGCTGGGTATGCCTGTTGTACTAGGGTGTCACTGGGCCCTCTCAGGAAACACAGCTAAGTCATATATGTGTATACTGGTCTATACATATACATGCATGCACAGTGTTCTGTTTGTCTTTGGATATGTGTGTACAAATATATACAGAGAGACAAATACAAGATAAACCTGACTTCATACTGGTATCGGCAGCTCTAATCCACACCATATTATTTGTACTTCTCTTTTCAGCCTATCATGTCTACTCGTAACATTTCTCAGCTACTAATCATGAATTTTCTATATCTTTTTTTGTGAAAGTGATAGTGAAGTAGTGAAGTTTATTAGGAAAGGAATCCACTTTCAACAGACTGAAAGCGTGTCACCTCGAAAGAAAGAGAAAATGACAGATATTCTATATCTTGTGCTATGATAAACAATAGCAACATATCACAAGAGCCCATCTTATCTTTTGTTTTTTTGCTCCCACTTTTTTTTGTTCAGACAGGGTCTTGCTATGTAGCTCAGGCTGGCCTCGAACTCATAATCCTCCTGCCTTCCGCCTCTCAAATGATGGGAATAGAAGTGTGCACTACAACACCCAGCTTCAAAAACCAAGTCAAGGCTTAGCGACTTCTATGGTTTAGATCTTAAATGTTCTCCAAGGCTCGTGTGTCAAGGCTTGGTCCCCAACCTGTGGTAGTAGGAAGAGGAAGTAGAACCTTTAAGAGCTGGAGTCTAATGGAAGGACAGCATGCCCTTATGGGAGTTCAGTCTCAGGGCTCCACCTCCTCTCTCCACCCCCCACACACAAAAAGGCAGGGGACACCAGTCTCTTTCTCTTCCTTTTCTTGAGTCCCAGTCATGAGGTGAGCCATTTGCTTTTCCGCATGCTCCCTACCACGAGGTGCTATCTCACACAGGTTTACAAGCAACAGGACCAACCAACCTCCAGAGCTGTGAGACAGAAGAAATCTTTTCTCTTTGTAAGTTGATTATTTCAAGTTTGTAACAGTGGCAGAAAGGTGATTAACACAGCAACTTACACAACTTGTCATAATTTTAACTTGAAAATTAAAAATTGAGCAGTACATAAACAAACAGTGCCCCTCCTCAATGGGACTGGGAGGAGGCAGGGCAGTCAGTGGAACACATAAAGCTCTAAGCCAGAGATCAGCACATGTATCTTTAATGGGAAAGATAGCATTTCAGGTTTTGCAGACCCTATCTTCCCTTAGCAAAGTGACTTGGGGAAAACCCACAGAAGTACTGTGGAGTATTGTCAATGCTGTTATACAACCACAAAGACTAGGCTAACGACACTTACGGCATTTACTGAATGCTTACCCTATGGTAGTTCCCAAGTATTTTTACCTGTATTAATTCATTTATTTCTCATAACAGCTTTGAGATGTGCACTACGTTCACAGCAAAATGGGGCACTAAGATTCAAGGTCCTACTAAAACTGTCTTCTTTCCTCCAGTTGCCAAGCTCCTGTTGACTGTGGCTCACGACTAGGAATAACGTCTCAGCTTCCAGTAAGTACTAGGTACAGACTGCGACCGCATTCCAGCCAGAAGTGGAAGCGATGTGTGCTGCTTGAAGACTTGATGTGAGAGAGCGAGGCATTTATTTTCCTGGATGTCCTCCTTTCCCAGCCGTAGGGGAGGCCTTATAGTGTAGCTGCCACATTAGACCCAGAGAGACAATAGCAAAATAATTCCGTCTTGCAGCTTGCCTCTGATCAGCTTGCCTCTGATCAGTTGATGAGAAGGCACTTTCTGTCTTGTTTAAGTGATTACATTTCAGGGTTGTTTACTATAGCAGCTTACCCTGTATCTTTGTTTTTGTTTTTGTGGTACTGTGTACTGAACTCAGGGCCTCAAACATGCTAGGCAAGTGCTCTATCATTTGAGCTATGTGCCCCTGTCCTTAGCCTGCATTTTACTGAAACATTTTAAATGTATACTTTTTATAATTTTCAGAATAAGGACTTTAAACTTACATGGAACATAATACATACCTCAGGAGAGACATGAGAGGCAAAAAAATCTTCCTCTTTTGGTGGAGGGGACACAGGTGGAACCACACAGCTATCAAGCCACAGCTAGAATGAAAACAAAGCAATGCTTAGCACTCTGTCTGCTTGCCTGCAAGGGATTTGTCCCATGCACTCCACTCCCGTCTGGAGACCTGCGTCCTGAAGACTGCCACTTTCCATCTGTAGGCTTGCTGAGCACACTCTAGTAATGTGTCACTCCAGGAAATTCTGCCCCCAAACCTTGAGGAAGCCAAGCACCCCAACTCCAGAAACCCTGTAGGTTCAGATCCAAAACTACAGTCAACCGTCATGGTCCATGGCTTCCACACTGTGAGTTCCCCTACTTGTTAAATTTACGTATAACTTCAAATCAGTACTTGTAGGGGTTTCACATTCATTCCCAGACACAAGAAGAGCAACAAAAAGATGAACTTTGTCTTTGTAAGGGCAAAGCCCTGAGTTCAAATCCCAGTCCTACCCAAAAAAAAAAAAAAAAAACCCAAAACAAACAAACAAAAGAGCCTCATGAAAATCACATTCCCAGCAGAGGCTGAACAAGGCTCACTCTGCCTTCGTAGTTTGGTTCTCACACTTGTAAACAAGTGGCCTTTTTGCAGCCTATTCAATGCCATGTCTTCTTGTGTTTTTACTGATGGGTTATTTAAAATGATCCCCAAGTGCAGTGATTATGGACTGTCATGTACCTTCCTGAGATGACACAGGGGTTAGACAAGCTTGACTCAGGCATGAGTTATGGCCCCTTGTGTGAGTTCAATGTTCACTAGCTGCTTATATATTAAATAAAGTTTACTTATGCGTTCATTTATTCTTTTGCAGTGCTGGGAATGGAACCCAAGGTGTTGCACATGCTAAAAAAGCTCTCTACCACTGAGCTGCACTCCCAACCCCTAAGTGAGGTATCTTTAAACAGAAACAATGTTAACGAGGTTCGTACTCATCAGTTAATGAGAATGGGACCAGAGGCTCAAAGGAGCCACACCCGCAGTCCTAAGCCGTGATGCTCAGTAGTCACTCAGAGTTCATTGTGAATTTATTGAGCACAGTTACCTGAATAACAAGAGTCAACCGCACCCTTCTAAGAGAATCCAGGCAGAAAGGTTTCCTGATGAGGATAAAAACTTTCTACTGAAGGAGCCTTCATCTGAAAGAGACAGGCAGTCTTTGGGGACTCACGTCAGTGCCGTGCTTCCGCGTGGCTTGAGAGGCCAATGACTTGATTTTCTCCCTGTAGAGCTGAGCGGCACGACTGTTGTACTTGGCGTTGGTATCGTTGGTGGCACACCCATGTTGATGGAAAAAGGAAGACTACAGAGGACAGCACATAAATGAACAGAAATACTGTAGGACACCTGACATCATGACAGAAAATGCTACTTCACAGAACGAGGGATTTACAAAAATACTAGTTAAGACTAAAATGATTTAAACATCATGAAAAATTCTAAAATAAAATTTTCATTGTAAAAAGGGAATTCCCTCCACAAATGTAATAATATTTTGATAAAACCAGGTATAAGACTTACATTCCAAAATGAAATAACAGGCCCCTGGTTCTCCATTAAGCTACCTCTGTCATCCTGAAGGTCATTTGGGGGAATGTTCTCTACTCAGGACTACTTGAAACTCAGGACAATAAATTTCGATTTGGACTTCATTAAATCAGAATTTTCAATAACTTGGCTAGGAACTCTGCTATCCTTTACGTGCTCGGCACTATTTCTTCACTAACAGAGTTGATAATGATCTTGCACAGTTAAAAAGCACAGCAAATGTGAAAAACTAAAAGAAACTGACTTCAACCCTTTCTGAGGCTCCATGGAGACACAGATTACAGAATTCATATCTTAATTAAAGCAGGACCTGTAGAAAGCTGTGTAAACAATCCCTTCCATAGCTGACTGTGATCACTGATGGTACTGATTACCCCCATGCATCAGATCCCATGCATGGTTTTCTGCGGGCAGCACCTTGGTAAACCCTCACAGCAATACATCAGCGAGTTACTCTGGCCACCTACACCATGCAGAGGGGGACGCTGAAGCTCAGAGATTCAACAACTTGCCCAAGGGGGAAGTAGTGAGGGGGCAGAGCTGGATTCAAAATGAGGCAAGACTGCTCCAAGCCCTGACCAGCTCACTGCTTAGCTGAACCACCTCTGACATGACCGCCCCATCCTCTCCTCCCTCCTCTGGCTGGAGACAGCTGCTGTGGAGTTGGGAGAGGGACCCTGACACCTGGGGAAGGCTTCACTAAAAGGCAGGTGAGACAAACCCACAGTATTAGGGGTGGTAGTGTGAAATTCATGAGCATCATGTTACTAGGCAAGGATTTCTAAGAAGATGGTTGAAACATGTAAGGCATATATTCTTTTTGCTTTTCTTGGTGATACTGGGGTTTGTACTCAGGGCCTCACTTTACCATTGAACCATGCCCCCAAGCCCATTCTGCTTTAACTGATTTTTCAGGTAGAGTCTCATGTTTTTTGCCCGTGTCTGGCCTCATGCCATGATCCTCCTACCTATCACATAGCTGGGATTGCAGATAAGAATAATCACACCCAGCTTGTTTCTAAGATGGAGTCTCACTAATGTTTTTGCCCCAGCTAGCCTCAAACCATGATCCCTCCCATCTCTGCCTCCTATGTGGCAGGGATTGCAAGTGTGAAGCACCACACCTGACTCCAGCACACATTCTCAGGAGGGATGGAAATGGCTTCTTAGAAAAGGAAAGTCTCAGTGATCTCAATGATTCAGGGTCTCCAAAGCTCACCTATACCTAATGATATTGTATTCCTTAATATCTAATTTCTCTCACCATGAAATATTAAACCCAATTGAGATTTAGTAATCTAATTAATTAATTAATTAATTAATTAAATTTGCCTACTTAGGGGACAATAATGAAGAAAGGTTGAGAAATACCAATCGGATGGGATCTGGCATTTCAGAAACTACTACTGTAGACTTATGATCTCATTTTTAAATATTTAATTGATGCTAGATATAATTTTATATGAAATGTCTACAAATCTGATTTCTTATACTTTATTTAATAGCAGGTTTAAAGGAATTTCATTTACTCAATGTTTACCATTTGGCATTGTAAGTAGGGGATCAATGTTTCAAAAGATTTTGCCTGCTAGATTTAAAAGGCTTCCAATCTAACATCGGAGAGAACCTGACTGAATTTGTAAATTAAATTATATGAGGATCCTTAACTAGGTTTCTAAGTGAAAATCCAGGGCTGGCAGAGTGGCTCAAATGGTAGAAGGCCTACCTAGCAAGCCTGAGACCCTGAGTTCAAACCCCAGTGCTGCCAAAAAAAAAAAAAAGAGAAAACCCACCCTTTTAAAGAAAATCTACTCTTTTAAAATCATAAGGTAGTCAAACATTTAAAAAGTTACTTTAGGGATGGAAGTATGGTTCAAGTGGTAGAATGCTAGCCTAGCAAGTACAAGACCTTGAATTAAAACTCCAGTACCACTAAAAGAAACAAAAACAAACAAAACTAGAAAAAGTTACTTTAACAGAAGTTTGTGAGTTAATATATATTTGTCTGCTGTCCTCAAAAGAATAAGTTTTTTAACTTGTAGACTTAATGAAATTAAGTATTAGTTCAAAAACACATTCCATGCTAAGCACAAAGTCCTCCTTATATAGTAAAAACTCTTTTTGTGTGTGTGTGGCACTGGGATTTGAACTCAGGGCCTCATGCTTGCTAGGAAGGCATTCTACCACTTGAGCCACTCCACCAGCTCTAAAAACTTTGTGTAATAATGATGCCTTGGGTCCTCCTACGTCCTCATTGCTTCGATCTCATTAAAGCACTTACCACTGCCTAGTGTTTCCTTGTTAACTTCTTCAGTTATGCTCCGACTCTCTCTTTTCCCATAGAGTGGTCTTGTTTGTCACCATATCCCAGTACCTTGCCCAATGGTTCAAACTTAACCAGGTGTTCAACACATTTCTGAATAAGTAAGCCAACAGGGTCCGCCTACCAGGCTCCTCCCCTTAGTCCACCAGCTTGCCAAACACGCAGGTACTGACTGCTTTACTGGCGTGATGCATTTTAAGCAAGGAGAAAAGGACAAGTCTGATACGGACTTACAGCACTGGCATTTCCTCCAACTTGCATGCACCGCAGCTGGAACCAAGACCAGTTAGAGTCCAGCTCTGTAGATCTAAACAGAAAAAATATCCCTAAGTTAACACTTTTCTTCTCCCAAATCAGACCGCTGAACTTTTGAAAACATTTCTTTGGGCTTTAGAATGCTAGAGAATTCTGTGTTTACAGGGAACATGCTTTCAGGATGCTGGGGCTTCGGGGTGGGTGACAGGTTGAGGAGCCCCTGGCCTCCTCTCAGCCTTCCTGGAAGCTAGTGCCTTGATGGCCCCAGTGGCCTGCTCTCCTTTGCCAGGCCAGCAGGACCTGTATCACTCACTGCAGTCAGTTGTCTCCTCTATGGCTTCTGGGACACCTGTCACTCTTGTCTGTCATCCTCAATGAATGATAAGTTAAAATTTGGTAACTTGTCTCTACTCAAAATAGATGTACCGTTTGGACTTTTTTCAGGTCAGCTGCCTACTTGCACAGTGTGACCCTACTAGGAGCCCGTAGGGTGCTCATATACTGTTATCCCCAGGTGGGGTGGACCAGCCTAACCTCACCAGTAAAGAAGGAGGAAACCAGAATTCAATGCTCTGAAATGAAAGCTCCAAATGTCCCCAGCCACTGCCACACCATAAACCCCACTTATCTCAAGTGTAAGATCAAATCAGAGAAGGCAAAAGCAGCAAGTGCAGCCCACAGTACACAACCAAGGGATCACTCATAAGGCAAGATTAGTTGGAGTGACAACACCAGTGTCTTTAAACTGAGTCCACAGACGGGAAGCAGAAGCAAGGCTGTCCTTCATTTACCACAGCCAGGCCCACACCAATTGCAGAGGAACGTGAATGAGTTAGAATGGGTGTAGATAGAATCCACTTCACAAAATGGACAAAGTAGAAAAAAAAGAGGCTTTCGATGCACCCAAACTTCCTTTGCGCTTCCCTTCCATTCACTCATCTCTATGGCCACTGGCATCCATTCACTGTTTTAAGCACTGAGAAGTTATTTGGGGAAGAAAAGAAGTTGTTTTGAAGGCAATAGCTAACTTATGATTAATATCGCCACAACTACATTATGACAAGTCTACTTCCCAGTAACATAGAAAAAGTAGAAACCACACTTTATAAGAAATAGATTTGTCAAAGACAAAAGCAAAATAGAGAAAAACCCGCCTCTGTTTAGAATTTCTGACTACCAAGCAAGATGACTGAATGACGTTATCTTCCATTCAGCAAACGATTAGTCACTGTAAAATCCTCTCTCTGAAGGATCTTGTGTGGGCACCACCTTTCCATGAGTCCCCTGGCTGTGTGTTTTCCTTACCCAGCTCTCTTACAGGGCAGAGCTGACAGCAGTCTCCAGAGACAGACCGAACAAGCACAAGTATGACTAGTGACTAAACCTCCCTGTACCTTAATTTCCTCATCCGTAAAGGAGGGATCATTATAGCATTATTTATTTTGCTCGTGCAGAAGTTAAATAAGCTAGAATCTGAGAAGCCAATGGAATGTGGCCTGGCCATGATCTCATCACTGTCAACAATGTCATCATCACACAACCCTGACACGCTGTATTGTGCTGTGACAGCTCACCCAACTCACCGAGCTCCAGCAGGCAGGGGATGCCTCAGAGTTTCCTTCATGCTTCTGGGGCAGGGCCTGGCATATAATGGGTACCTGGATGGGGGCTGTATTAAAGAATGTCCTAAAATTGAGACCCTGAATACTGAGTGCTCATCTGCCTACAACTTTTAGTTCTAAAATAGCTATTCAAAATAAAGATATCTGTGTATATTTAGAAATAAAGGTTAAAAAGTAAAAACAAAGTATTCTTGAACCAAGGTGATAGGAATTCTCGGATGGGAACACTAGACTTCTGTCATAAAAGGTTCTGAGGAGGCAGCCTGCAGGAGGAGGTCATTTCTTACCTTCAAAGTAGATTAAGAGATAAGTGAAAGGTGAGATGGCTCAGAAAAAGTAAAGGAGAGAAAGTAGGAAAAGCTAAAGAATTGGTGTCACTTTACCAAAATGGCTCTTGTTAATCAATAAGGCAAAAAAGGAGATGTGGCTCCCGCCACCTCTATAATCCTTCACTGAGTCAAAATGTAACCTTCTTAAAAATAGCATGAATTATCAGATGCCAGTGGCTCAAATCTTTGATCCTAGCTACTGGGGAGGATCAAAGCCAGCCCAGGCAAAAAGTTCTGAAGACCCCACCCATCTCAACCAATTGCTGGTACAGTGGTGTGTACCTGTCATCTCAGCTACTGTGGGAAACATAAATGGGAGGATCACAGTCCAGGCCAGCCCATGTAAAAAGCAAGATCCTGTATCAAAGATAATCAAAGCAAGGTGGAACGCCTGGTGGCTCACACCTGTAATCCTAGCTACTCAGGAGGCAGAGATCAGAAGGATCATGGTTCAAAGCCAGCCCCAGGCAAATAGTTCACAAGACGCTATCTCAAAAATACCCAACATAAGAAAGGGCTGTCAGAGTGGTACAAATGGTACAGTGCCTGCCTAGGAAGCACTGTTTAAAACCTGGTACTGAAAAAAAAAAAAAATCAAAGCAAAAACGGCTGGAGGTATGGCTCAAGTAGTAGAGCACCTCCTAGCAACATGAGTTCAAAGCCCAGTGACAAAGGCCCAGTGACAAAGCCCAGTGACAAAGGAAAAAAAAAGCATGGATTAGCTTCACTAATGGCTGCCAAAGTCAGCACTTCTTTCTAACTAGAGGTTTTAAAAAGATTTCAGCAACTAATGAAGTCAGAATGAATCTCACTAGGTTAACAAAGATTTCTATAATGAAACTTTTAAATGGAGTAACTGTATCACAGTTAATCTAGAAGTTCAAGAATAGTTTCTGGCAGCCAGTTTGTTCATAACCTGCTAGGATGCTTCATTAATGTCACAAAAAGTGTCCCCTTCCGTACTACCACTGTAAGGAGGCTGTCCTCTGAGTACCCTGAGCAGGCACCCAGATGAGTCTCAGCTGGTCACGGCTGCTGTGTGCTAAGGGCTCCTCAGGTGCTGCTTGCTCCTCCTGACACGCTATATGGTGTGTGTCCCCGTATTCCCAACCCCACCTTTTTGTTTTTTGAGAGGGTTTCACTATGTAGCCCAGTCTGGCCTTGAAATCATGACTTCCTGCCTCAATCTAAGGAGTGCTGGTACTACAGGCCTGTGCCAGCACGCCTGGCTCTTGTAATGTGCTTAATTGATGCAAATGTTCACACATTAGACCTCTCCCTAAGAGCCCAAAAGCCCATACTGAGTATCTTTTCACCCTGTAGTTCTCTTACCAGCATCCCAGACTGCTGCCCTCTGGTTAGACAGTGTTTTTAGAATCATTTATAAGCATGTGATTCATACTGCTATATTTACCTAATTTTTAAAAGGATAGTGTTTAAACCTATACTGGCCTGAACAGATTCTGTTGTCCAGTCTCCTCAGGCTCTAGACCAGCCCTTCCCTCAATGAAAAATACACACACAAAATACCTAATTTCCTGACACAGCCTATCCAGGCAGTGGGATTTAGAGGTGAGAAATGGGTTGGCCACATTATAATGGGAGAGGCTCAGCAGTGAGAAAGAGGAGAGAACACAGTACAGAGAGAAGGAGAGAGTCAAGTCTAGTCTTCATTGCGGGGTAGGGTATATTACCATATGTTCCGTATGTTACCAGCTAATGACTGGTATAGAGGGAAAAGTTCAAAACACAATCTGGGTATGGGGGTATAGCTTCAGTGGCAGAACCCATACTTTGCATGTGCAAGACCTTGGGATTGATCTCCAGCATTAAAACCATAAATATGTAAAAAAAAAAAAAAGAAATCTGATTAATGGGGAAAGAACAATATTTTCAACAGAGTTGTGAAACTAGCTGTCCACATGCAAAAGAATGAAGGTGTACCCAACACCATAAACAAAAATTAACTCAAAATGGATCAAAACCATAAATGTAAGACCTAAAACTATAACATCAGAAGAAAAAAACCAGGGTAAATTGGGTTTGACAATGATTCCTTGGGTATGTCATCAAAGGCACAGTAACAAAAGAAAAATAGACTAACTGGACTTCATGAAAATTTTAAAATTTTGTGCATTAAAACACAAACAAAATAAAAGGCAGAATCCCACAAAACAGGAGGAAATACTTGCAAATCTTATCTGTGAAAGGGATTAATATCCAGAAAATATATACAACTCCTAAAACTCAACAGCCTGTTGTGATGGCACACATTTATAATCTGGCCAATTGGGCAAGACCCTGTCTCAAAAACACCCAAAAACTTACACATTAAAAAAAAAAAACCTTAACAACAAAACCCAAATAACCTGATTAAAAAATGGGCAAGTGGCAGGGCATGGTGGCTCAAACCTATAATCCTAGCTACTTGGGAGGCAGAGATTGGGGATCATGGTCAAGGCCAGCTCAGACAAAAAGCTTATGAGACTCCATCTCAACCAATGGCTGGGCCCAGTGGTGTACGCCTATCATCCCAGCTACTGCGGAAGCATAAACAGGATGATCATGGTCCAGGCCAGCCTAGGCATAAAGCGTTGGTTATTCTCAAAAATAACCAACATAGTAATAGCTCAACGGCTCAAGTGGTAGAGTGCCTGCAAAGCAGGCACCAGGCCCAGAGTTCAAACCCCAGTACTGCCAAAAAAAAAGTAAAAAACCTGAATAGACATTCATCAAAGAAGATACGCAGACAGCCAATAAGCACATGAAAGATGTTCCAGATCAATAATCACTAGGAAACTGCAAATCAAAACTGCAACGAGATACTGCCTCACACTTATTAGGATGGCTACTATAAAGAGGGAGGGGAAGGGAAGGAGGGAGGGAGTGAGGAAGGAAAGGGCTTGGGGTGTAGCTTAATGGTAGAGTGCTGGCCTTGGGTTCCATCTGCACAAAAAAAAAAAAAAAAAAAAAAAAAAAAAAAAAAGAGGAGGAGAAGGAGGAGGATGACAAGTGCTGGTGAGCATGCTGATGAGAATGTAAAATGGTACAGCCACTGTGAAAAACAGTGTAATAGTTCCTCTTCTGGGTACTGGCCCAAAGAAATCCAGAACACTTTCAAAGTGAAAATTATAACCCATATTCAAAGCAACAGTATTCACAATAGCTAAAACATAGATGCAAGCCAAGTGTGTATAGGAGGCAGAGATCAGGAAGCTTGTGGTTTGAAGCCAGCCTGGGCAAGTAGTTCGTGAGACCCTATCTCAAAAAAACCCATCACAAAAAGAGGGCTGGTGGAGTGGCTCAAGGTGGAGGCCTTGAGTTCAAACCCCAGTGCTGCAAAAAAAAAATAAAAAACAAAAAGAGAGACAATAGTCAATATCATAGATAGAGAAAGTAGGATGATAGTTGCCAGGGAGAATTACAAAGAGTTATGGAAAAGGAAGGTACTAATGGTCTTATAACATCATGAATATATTTAATAACACTGCACTATATACTTAAAAGGGTTAAGAAGATAAATTGGACATGTACTTTATCACAATAAGAAAAACTGGAGTAAATAAATAAACTTACCTTGGCAACTAAATTGCTCAGCATTTACAAAAGAGATAGGATAGTATAGTGTACTCTACTTCAGAGGCAGAGATCAGGAAGATTATGGCCAGCCCAAGCAAAAAGTTCATGAGCTCTCATGTCAACAAATCAAAGCTAGACATGGTGGTGTGTCCTGTCACTCCAGCTATGTGGAAGCATAAATAGGAAGATCACGGTACAGGCTGGCCCAGACACAAATGCAAGACATTATTCAACAAATAACAAAAACAAATGAGCAGAGGACACAGCTCAAGTTGTAAGAGCACCTGCATAGCAAGCCAAGGCCCTTAGTTCAAAATCCCAGTACCGCCAAAAAAAAAAAAAGTGGGACCAGAGTCTAAGACAAAAGAAAAGAAGAGAATGACAGATTGACAGATATTCTGAAGTGAGGTGGAATACACAAAATAACTCCCTTTTCTTAATAATTACCCACAGAGTTATATGGCTATAAATATTTAGCCCACTGTGCCTTTATAAATTGATTTCTGAAAAAATTATGGTAAGAAACTTTTAAAAAAAATTTATCAAAAAAGAAAATTAGGTTGTAATTATTACAATACAGTTTTCATGCAATAATGGGAATATTTCTTTATAATCAATTTTATCCTTTAGGGACAAAAGCTTCTTTATGGTAATCATGTTATATCAATATTCCTTAAGTCATAATGTAAAATGAACTAGTTTGCTACTCTTCCAGATAGCCTGCCTAGTTGGCTCCTGCCCTGGAAAAAGAAGTGTTGGGAAAAAGAAAAAGGAGCTGGCTGGAGAAGGCAGCACTGGAGCTCTGAGTTGGCGCTACTTGAAGGACCTGCAGAAGGTGCTCCAGCAAGGGCTCCAGGTGCCTGACATGCTTGGCCTCCCAGCCCTGAGTCTTACGGGGGATCCTTTGATTATTTATTAAATATTTAACTTCACAGAAAGGCCCTTCTGCCTCCCACTGTGGGGCTGTCCGTCCAGAGGGGCACCTCTCTCTATAGAGGCCAGGAGCAACAGCACGAGAAGTGAAAGGTTACTCACAGAGAGCAGGCACAGTTCAAGCCTCAGATACAGAAGCCCTTCCTAGTGCACACACTGGAAATTAACAATAACACTTCCATGAGAGTCACTCACTCAGACCCTTTTAGGGTCCTTGGGAACTGAAGCTGAAGGATGTTGGGAAAGACACCCTGATGCGAGGAGGGCTCCTACCCCTGACACATGAATGTGAGGGTCTCACTCATCTGAAGCCCCTTCTCCCCTGAGGACACACTTTGTATCGCTAACCTATTAGAGGATGGTAAAGGGAAAGGAAAAATTGCCTCAAACTCTCCATTCTGACTTTGCCCTCGACGTTACTGCTCCTGCCTCCCAAGATCTCTACTGACGGAACAGACAGAAAATGACTCACTTTCCCAGTTTACTTAATGATGTAAGCTGTAAACCTGTACTCATAATTAACTTGTCATATTTCACCTGATGTCAAATCAAACACAGCGAACAAAGGGGAAGGATGGGTATGTAACAGTGAGGGAAGACTGACTTACCGAATAAAACTCAGGTGGACACCAAGTGACCTGTGTGACCCAGAGCAGTCGATGCAGAGAAACACCCCATAGGTTATGCTTGCCCAGCTGGGGTTTTTGGCAGCACAATCAAAGCACACCTGTAAGAAAAACAGTAGATTCAGTTAATAATGAACTTACATGAGCAGGTGAGTCATCTGACAGGAACAGCATGACTGGCTTGGAAGTCATGTAAGCCTCACACTCTTAACGTTGGTTGTTAGAAAACAGCTCACCTAGGCTTCTTAAAATTCTCAAGTTTCAATTTTTATGGTAATATGTTATGTATAAATATGTTAATTATAAGTCATTGGCATAATTAGGTGAATACATTGTATTATGACATATTATGTCTGTACTATAACATAGTGCATTATGGGTAGGGAAGAGAACTTAGATCTGAAGTATCTCAAACATTACTTATCCTTGATGCCTCAGTGGGGATCCTACAGTCACATAAATGAATGCTGGCCAGAGATACTGTCCTGCTAGGATCAGTCTAGCCCTTACCATGGCCTGGGCATTGGCTGTCTGCCACATGGTAGGTTTGTGTGTTTCCTCTCCACAGCCAGAGGAGGAGGGTGTACTAGAAGATGGCCCCAATGATCCCCACCTCCTGGTGTTCATACCCTGTGTAATCTCTGCCTTTACTGTACCAAGGTGGTCTGTGTGGCCAATAGAACATAGCAAATGTGGTGCTACGTCACTTTGGAGGTTAGGTTATAAAAGATACTGTGCTTCCTCTTGCTCTATGAGGTCTCTAGCTATGGGTGAAGCTAGTTATCATATCTCAAGGACACACAGACAGCCCCGTGGAGAGCCTCAAGTGAAAGGACGGGGGTGAGGCCCTCGTTCAACTGCAGCGGGGAGGAGAGACCCACCCACACACTTGAGGGAGGGACAGCTCAGGTGACTACAGACTCACAACAGACACTGGGGCAGGCCCAGCCAGCTAAGCCACTCTCACTCCTGACCCTCAGAACCTGAGTGGAGAGCATCACAGCACGCTGCTCTAAGATGCTCAGTATGGGGGTAATTTGATACATAGAACAGATAACTAACACGCAGTGATGTTCCTCTATGAAAACGCTGGGTTCTTCTCTCCCTCTGCCCTTCCACACTGCTGGGTCACTTTGAGAACTCTTAACACACATCTCATAAGAAGGAATGTGTTCTCTGTTCACTACTGGCACTGAGAGCTCCTATGGGCCCTTCCCCTGTCACCTCGCTTTTTTTTTCCTCCACTAGCACACAGCCTGTTCAGGCTCCATAAGTAAGTATTTACTGGATGGATCTGGATATTTTTTAACAAGAAAAATGCTTTTGACTCATAATAATCACTCAGTAAAATTTGTTAATCAAGTAAACAACATTCAGAACTTAAAGCCAAGGACTGGGTTTAATGGCACATGGCTGTGATCCCAGCTACTCAGGAGGCAGAGACTGAGAGCACTGTAGTTCAAGGCCAATTCCAGGCAAAAAGTTAGTGAAACCCCATCTCAACTAGCAAGTCAGGCATGGTGGTTCACATCTGCAATCCCAGCTACACAGGAGGGACAGGTAGGAAGATCAGGGTCCAAGGTGAGCCCTGAGAAAAACTTGAGGCCTTATCTGAAAAATAATTAAAGCAATAAAGGGCTGGATATGTGGCTCAAGAGGTAGAGCTTATACCCAGCAAGTGTAAGGCCCCAAGTTCAAACCCAACACCACCAAAAGAAAGAAAAAGAAAAACTTCAGGCTAGTTTCAAAATCATCACTAGCCCCTTCAATATTAACACTGAGTTAAATATCCATCACTGATAACTAGAACAAAAAAGTGCCTTAAGGGCTGGTGGAGTGGCTCAAATGGCAGAGTGTCTGCCTCAAAAGCATTAGGCCTTGAGTTCAAACCCCAGTACTGACAAAAAAAAAAAAAAAGTGCTTTAAAATACAGTTGCTGGTCGTGGATTTATTACGTTTAGTTAATTAAAGTCTGAATGATAACTGTAAAAATTGCACAAACAGGAGAATTATCTTTATTTTTTTTTTCAGATAAAAACACATATTTTAGACGCATTTTACAAGGCACAGCCACCGAGATGAAGGTGCACCCATCAGGAAAGACCTGGCTTCCAGCCTTCTGAGGGCCGTGCAAGAGAGAAAGTATGAGTGACTTTCTAAAGCCTGGACCCAGGACAATCACACGGATCATCATAAAGAGCAGGGTGGAGTGGCAACAGGCGTGGAAAGGGCCACCAACCATTCCTGTTCACCGCCTGCCTGCTATGTGCCCGACACTGTGACAGGTGCTGAGGAACAAAGGAGTAGATGGCATCAGGGATTCCACTAGTACAAACTAAGCTCTACTCCCTGCTAGGCCAAGTGCTAGTCTTTCAAGAGCTCACTGAGCAGTGGGAGAGACGGACACAGACTTTAAAAGGCACTGTGGTGACAGATGTTAGAGTAAGGAGCCTCCTCTGTGGGACACCAAGCAGCGTGGCTGGCTGCAGTGACGCCTCACTCGCTCACTCACCTGACACTCATGTGCACTTACTATTCATTACTGTCCCTGGCACATACAAATGGTCACAGGAAGGTGGTTCAGGACAAGTCTGCCCCCATGGCATCCACAGTCTTGTGAGCAAGACAATCAGTCACAGTATTGTATCTTAGCAAGTAAGAATGAGGTGCAGAAGGTTTTCTAAACACGGTCAAAAGGCACTTGGGATCTCAAGACCAGGGTTTAAAGGATTGGCCAAAGACTATGTAGGGCATGGCCCTGTAGAGGTGACAGCAGAGATTTAGTATGCACAGTCCAGAACAGGCAAGCTTGAGAATCACTTTTGAGGCAGTCACAAGGCTGGCTACAAGAAGACAACAGTGACTGGCCTTAGTGGTACACAGTCATCCCGCTTACTTAACAGGCTGAAGCAAGAGGATCACAAGTTCAAGACCAGCCCAGGCAACTTAGTGAGACCCTCTCTTAAAAAATAAAAAGAGGTGGGTAGATAAAGTCAGGGGTGCAATGCTTGCCTAGCCTATACAAGGCCTCAGGCTCAATCCCCAGAGCCAAAAAAAAGGAAAGGGTACTTGGGGTAGAGCTCAAGTGGTGGAGCACCTGCCTCGCAAGCAAAGGCTCTGAATTCAAAACCCAACTACTGAGCTGGGGGTGTGGCTCAAGTAGTAGAGCGCCCACCTAGCAAGCACAGGCTCCTGAGTTTAAACCTCAGTACCACGAAAAACAAAATAAAATAAAACCCAAGTACAGCCAAAAAAAAAAAGAGGAAAGTAGCCAACCTACCAACAAAGCCAAGGAACTGCTAGAACGTAGCTGCAGGGAGACAATGGCTGTGTCTGTCTTGTTCACTTGGGTTTAGCACTAAGGTTAGCACAAAGTAGGCACTCACTAATAGGCCAAACACAGTGGTAGAGCAGTTTGTAGGGTGGGAACTGGGTATGGAGGAGGTCCAAGGCAAATAGAAACACAGATCTGGCTCTCACAATGCACCTTGATTCCTGTGTGGGGCAAGTGACTACACACTTGAAAATGATACTGCACTGTGTTTTGTTTTGTTTTTTTTCATTGTTTTGATATGTGATCCCAGACCAAAGTCCAGGTTTTCTAAGCAGAATATCAGTTCTTACGGAGATGAAGAATAAATAGCTTTCAACTGACAGCCTGTCTGACCTAAGTATGAGAATTATTATAGCAATACTAATAGTGAGTGCTGAGTGTTATGTCTTCATAACAACGTAAGAGTGTACTACACCATCATTCTATCAGCGTTAGCCTGTTGAGCACATGTGTAATCTTTGCAGTCTCACTGGCTCCTCTTTAGGACTTGTGATGTGTTTAGTGCTTTTCAAACAAGGTTACAGCATTCCCATGTACTGCATTTCACAAAAATAGGTCGTGAGTGTTCATTCCATTTTACAGAAAAGTAACGCATTAGTTAAGTATCACACCTGGGAGCCAGACCCCAGGCAGTCAGCATCCACACTCATGCTGCACCCTTCACCACCCTGACTTCCATAGCAGAAAACGGCACCACACAGCCCTTCAAATGTTCTTTGTCTACTCCACCTCAGGCTCCCTAGGTGCCTAAAGGCAGGCACCATGTTTTTTTCTCCATCAGTGTACACCCTTGTGCTTTACAAAGGCGCAGCACAGTGTAGATGCTGAGCGAAGAACGGGAACAATCTAGGGAAAACTAAGCAACAGAATCATAACAGAGAAGGATTTCACAAGGCAGATAACTGACCCTATTAAAGCCTGTGGGCCAGGATAAGTCGTCATCCTGTGTAAGGGGAAGGAACTGGATCCCACATTGTAAAAGTAAAGCAAGTTGTTTTTCTTGACCTTTTCTGACTTGTGTATCTTAGAGCGCTTTTACAACTTGATTTTTCAGGTACTTATTGTCGTCCCAGTCTTCAAGGTCATTGAAACTAGTTTTCCTCTTGGTTCAGGTAATGGCTTCAAGCCAATGATCAAGAAGTACAGCAAGTTACTGTGAAATAGTACAGAGAATATTTTTGCACATTGCTTTTTAAATCATATTACAGAATATAAAATATCCACAGGTATGCTTGTCATGAAAAAAATAACAAAAATAGTTGACAATTATGGAAGATGAGTATTTTAAAGTTCTTTCTTGGACCATCTCATCTAATCCTCACAATAATCCTTTGAGTTAGATCTGGCTCATGCCCCCATTTTCAGGTGATAAAATAAGGCACAAGTGGCCAAGTAACCTGCCTCAGGGTGACATAGCTAGAAAGTAATGGAATCGGGACAATCACGTTAATTTACAAACAAGCCCACACAAATCCCTCAGAAGTGTCTGTTGGTATAATGATGCCCACTTTTTATTTAAGAAGACACCAACCCTTCGATGAATTTAACAAAGAAAATACATGCTGATGTGGTACTGAGATAAACCAGATGGAATACAGTTTCCGCTTTGCTAAATGCAGATTCAGTCTTGTGCAGGAACAAAAGAATCACTCTATAAACAGATCTAAATTTCAAAATCAAGAAGCCAGGTGCAGTGGCTAATGCCTGTAATCCCACCTACTCAGGAGGCCAAGCCAGGCAAAAAGTTAGCAAAACCCTATCTCAATAAACCAGACATCTGGGCATGTGCTTGTAGTCCCAGCTTCTCAGGAGGCTGTAGGTAGGAGGATCAACGTCCAAGGCCAATCTGGGAAAAAACAGGAGACCCTACCTGAAAAATACATAAAGCAAAAAGGGCTGGAAGTGTGGTTCAAGAGGTAGAGCTCCTGCCTAGCAAGTGCAAGGTCTCAAGTTCAAATACCAGTATTTGCTAAATGCAGATTCAGTATAAAAAAAAAAATTCAAGAATAAAGAAGTGGGCACTGGAGACTTCCTAAAGACTTTCTCCTGCACCTTTCTGACATCCATCAAACATCAGCCTGATTTTCCTTCCTCACTTCTCTTGGGCTGTAAGGGAAGACCTTATTTTTACATAAAACATCTGAATTTTGTAAAACTCAGGAACTTTGTATGCTACCCCATTAGGGATCATTAACAGATGTTCGTTCCCTTTGGAGGTGACAGGGGTGACCAGAAAACTCCTGTTCCAGAAAGGGTGGACAGAATCCATAGTTGTACTCTCCAGGTTCCACTCCACCTCACCAAGGTGTTACTATATAGTCCCATACATCATCACAACACCTCCAGCCAGATGCTAGAAGTTACAGGGAAAAATAGACCCCGGAAACAGACAGACAGACAGACACACACACACACACACACAGAGGAAAATCTCAGTCTCCAAAGACAGCCCGAGGGAGGAAAGAGAAAAGGGGATGCGGTGGCGGGCTTCCTTAGGAACAGAAAAAGCCAAAAGCCACAGGAGAGACCACTTAGCAGCTTTATTGAACCTGAGGCTGCCTCCAAGGGACAAAGGGAACCAACCAGGGTCCAAAAGGTCTCCCACCCTGAGGCTCTTGAGCAGCGAGGTCCACGGTGGGGAGAGGCGCTTTGCCCGCACCCAACGTTACCAGCTGGAGTTCTGACCACAGACCACAGCTTCCCCGCCCCCCAACCCCGCGCCGGGTCCCGGTGGCCCCCCACCTGCAGAGCCCGGGCGTATGCTCCCAGCCCCTCTCAGGACCCCCAGAGTCTCGCCCCCAGCCTCCCCAGGCACTGACAACGTGTTCACTCCCTGCCCGGCTGCACTGCTCCCCAGCCAGGTGTCAGGTAGCCCTGGTGCTCTGGCTTCCCGGCCCGACCTAGGTGCCGGCCCCAGGCCTCTGTCTGAGCCCCCGATGCTCTGGTCTCGCGCGCACAGGAACCCCTAGATGTTCGACCCCCGGCTGTCGCTCAAAGCCCCCAGGTGCTCCGACCTCGCGCTCTGAGGACCCCCGGGTGCGCTGCCCGCCCCGCCCCGGGCGCGCGCCCCCTCTTCCGCCCTTCCATTGCGTCGTAGGATGGGGAGCGGCGCGCCATCCGGACCCGGACAAGGCCCAGACGCCGCGGCCCCACAGTGCGACGTGTCACTGGCCGGGCGGCTCCTCCTCCCACGGCCGCGGCCACTGGCGCCCGCCGGGGCCTCCCGCGGGATCCAGCGGGACCGGGCAGGCCCGAACATCCCTGGCGGTCGTTACCTTGTTAGTGGGCACCGAGCGAAGGCGCTTAAAGATGGTCAGGATGTCCTGCTTGCTGGGGTCCCCCATGGTTGCCAGAAAACCAAGGCTCCGCGGGCCCCGCCAACCGGGTACGGCCGAGGAAGAGCGGTTGCCGCCTCCAGGAGACCTTGGGAGGCCGATGGGGCGGAGCTGCGCGTGACGACAGGCTCCGCCCCTACCGGCCCCGCCCACAACCTCGTTCACGAGCCGCTCCACTCCGCTCTTCGGCCGGGTCCCGCTCAAACCCCGCCCACGGTGGCGCATGCGCAGGGACTCGCGCGCCCTCTGCAGGCCTTCGCTCGTCCTGCGCGCCCCTTAGTTCGGGACGCGCTGCAAGGCTGCGGCGGTGTGGGTGCTCCCTCGAACACATCCGCGGGATCCACCAGTCCCCGGGACGACTGCTTCCATGACCATAGCCTCCTCACGACCTTCCCGCGAGGGCGCCAGAGTCCGCCAGTCCCATCGGCAAAGGTGCCTTGAGGACTAGGAAGAGTCCACACCTACTGACACCGGACTCAGCTGGATTGTCGCTGGTCGCCTTCCGTTTTTATCCACGTTCTGCCTGGAAACCTCTGCTGGCCGAATAAATTTGTGCAGTTCTTTGTCCTCTAAGGGGAGAGAGATCGCGCCCCGCTTGAGGCAAAAAGTTGTGGGTCAGAACCGAGAAGTCCGCAGGCCCGAAGCTCGGAGTAACCAGCGCTGGGGACGCCATCCCACTCTTTGGGTCCCCTCGCTGGTGGGCGGGCCTCGAACTCGGGAGCAGGCGCCTCTTAGGTGGGTGTGGAGCCTCTGGAAACATGGCCTGCGGCTGGCCGCTGCAGTGGAAGGAAAACGGGTTCTGGTGCCAAGTGCAATTCCTCGGCTCCTGTCCGGGCCAGCCAGCTGCTCCTAGCACTGCGACCTTGGTCAAGTCACTTCACAGGTGTTCCCACCTGCACAAAGGAGCTGGAGATGAAGCAGCTACTGAGCAGCTTCCAGTGAAGCCTTGGAAAGTTCGCTTTGGTGGGCCTCTCCCTCCCACCAACCAGCTGGGAGCCGGCAGTGTCTGCTCAGCCTTGTCACCCTCGGGGAATGTTGGAATCTGCAGAATGTGGTCTCAAACCTAGGTTCGGTCCTCGTGCAGGGCAGGAAACGATACTGCCTTCCAGAACAGTGCATTGCTTCTCCAGACAACTCTGATGTGTGAAAGCTGTTCCTGTATTGAGCCAAGGGACAGACCCAGGTCCTGTGCCCAGCACGGCATATCTGGGAGGTTAGGGGGTCCAGGCATGTCCTTCCTCGTGGGAATGGCAGTCATGGTCCAGATGGGTATTTGGAACTGAAATCTTACTGTTCTATCAGCCTAGGGCAGTGTTGTCTGGTCCTCTCTCTGCTGTGGAGCCCATGAGAAGAATTTAAAAACAGAGGTAGTATCCACAGGGATGGAGGAGGACGGCTGGTGCTATTTATTTGAACAGTTCCTTCACCAAGAAGATATATAGGTGGTAAATGAGCACATGATAAGATAGTTAACTCCATCAGTCAGAGAAGTGTAAGAAAACCACAGGAGATGACACCATGCGCCTACAGTTTTAAAAACTGTCAGTGCCAAGTTTTGGCAAAGGTATGGATCAACTAGGACCCAAACATTACCCCAAACTAGAACGTCCATCAACTAGTGAACGGGTAAACCCACAGTGCAATACGACCCAGCAATACAAAGGAACCCGATACAGAACATGGAGGAAACCCAAAAAGTTTATGCTACATGAAAGCAGCCATGCACACTTCCATACTATGTCATTTGGTTTATATGACATTCTGTAAAATCCTTGTGGGAAAAAGAGCATCAACTAGGTATTAACACATCATGGCAAGCACTGGAACAGATTCAAAGTGCCATGGGAGGGCAATGCAGTTTTTGAGGGAGAACATTTTAGGGAAGACCTGTCATAATGACTACTGCCCGAGTTGTGCAGTGCTTACATTCTAATGTGTCAAATTTTATTAAGGAGAGTTATCTCTAAGGCGGGGCAGATGTGGGGCTTTATTGTGAATCCAGTTTCCTAAATCCTCACCTCTACCCTGGATAAATAGGAGAATGAGGGTCTTCCAAAAGTAGCAAAACATTGTAAGAATGATAGAGAATGAGAAAGAAAAGGGGAGCTTGAAAGAACACTGAGGACCAGGACGAATTGAGATGTGAGGACTAATAGAACACAGGAGGGCTTTGAAAGAAGGCTCGGCCACCTGGCAGGTCCACACTGTCTTCTGGGAACTGTCTTTGCTGGTTTATCTTTCATAAAGATAAGTCCTGGTGTGGCTAGGGCCAAGTGACATAGCATATAGTTTACTTACTTCCTTCACAGCCCAGCCTGAGCTTGGTGAAAGCCAACTGCCACTTGAAGGAACCCTGGACTAGCCTAGACAGTCATAGGATGAATCCCAAAGTGAGACTAAGAACAGGCTGTGTCCCTTGCCTATGGAGGATACCACCAGTGGACTTTAGTTAGTGCTGAACGAAAGCAAGTGGGTACTATGTCTTAAACATACTTCTGCTAGATCAGACACATCTGAAAATAAAGTCTCATCTGATTTTTTCCAGCTCTGAAACTCCAGACCCATTTTAAAAGGTAAAATACTTAAATAATTACTGATCACTTGATTTAAAAAGAAATTAAAGATGATGTCATTACCTTCTTAAATAGGATACATGGTTTGAATCTTATCATTACCATAATATTTGTAATCTTTTTTTTTTTTTTTTTTACAAAAGTGAGAGACATTTTATTCTACAATCAGCTATTTTTTTTCTTTTTTGAGACAGGAGCTCACTATATTGCCCAGGCAGTCCATGAATTTATGATCTTCCTGCTTCAGCCTTTGGAGGCCAGTGCTGGGTAATATTTGTAATCTTTGACAAAATAATTGGAAAGTGACATGAAAATTTTTGTTTACATAAAATCCTGTATTTGTTCGTAACAGACTTAGTTGTATTTTCTAAACACTGGAGTCAAACCGAATTGATGAATTCTGGTACATTCATTTGATAAGAACTACCCCAATAAGATGGAATTAAATATTGATATGCAAAATTCCACAGATGAAACCCAAATTAATTATGTGAAGACAAGGCAATTCAAAAGTGACTCTTTGTGATTCTATTCATATGACATCCTGGAAAAGGCAAAGCTGTAGAAGCAGAAAATGGATTAGTGGTTTTGGTGACTGTGTGTAAGGAGAAGTTAAGTACAACAGATGGGGGAAATTCGGGGGAAAACAGTTCTATATCTCAATTGTGGCAGTGGCACGACTGCTTTATCATAAGTTGAAGAACTACTAGGCACCGGTGACTCACACCTGTAATCCCAGCTACTCAGGAGGCAGAGACTAGGAGGATCAAGGTTCTGAAGCCAGCCCAGGCAAATAGTTCACAAGACCCTATCTCAAAAAACCTATCACACAAAAAGGGCTGGTGGAGTGACTCAAGGTGAAGGCCCTGAGTTCAAGCCCCAGTACCAGAAAAAAAAAGTTGAAGAGCTATACACTAACAAAGGTGTACCATCTGTTATGTAAATTACTATAAAATGGGAAAAGTAGGTAGGAATGTGTGGAATATTATGCAGCCATTAAACTTTATCATTTTTTTAGTTGTCTTTTTGGTTTTTTGGAGCTAGTGTCTACCTATTTACCCAGTCAAACACATAAAAGTTTATTTTTGTCATGTCATCAGAAATGCAGATATGGTAATTACCGCCATTGCTTAGTGGTTCAAGAAAATTGTGGCTAAGTCTTTGTGATGCTTTCAGTCTTTTCACAGCCTCTCCTTTGGTCTTATTAGCATAAATGAACTGTACAAAGGGGATATTTCCATACATGTATATTAGATAATTTGATCAAAACCACACCCTCTGTTACTTTTTAACTCCTCTGCAACCCCCTTTAAAACACTAGTGGGTTTCGTTATACCATTTTCCTACACATATACAATGTGCTTCGGTCACATTCCTCATCAGCCCACCCCCACCCCCGCATTTGCCCCCAACAATCCTTCTACAATCAGGTCATATCGTTTTTGGTCTCGATTCTGCATGTGAGCAAAAGTATGCAGGATTTTCTGAGCTTGACTTACCTCACTCCAACTTGATGGGCCCAGTTCCACCCATTTTACGGCTGAGTACTGCATTGTGTGTGTGCACTCCGCTTTCTTTTTTCTGTCTAGTCGTCGTGTGTTGGGCACCAGGCAATTCCTTCGCTGTTGTGACATTGCTACAGCAACCATGAGCGCACGGTCATCTTTACTATGTGCTGATTTGCATTCCTTCGGATAGTGCCAGGGGTGCAATGATAGACTCACTTGGTAGTTCAATTTTTAGGCACCTCCGTACTGATTTCCACAGTGGCTGCAGGAACTTACAGTCCCACCAACAATGTAGGGTTCCTCCGCGCCCTCCCTCCTTGCCAGCATTTGGTGCTTATTTTCTTCATGGTAGCCGCTCCAGCTGGGGTGAGCTGGAGTCCCAACGGCCTGTTCACTTTCTCATGTATTTATTTGCCATTCGTACTTTTGAGAATTGTCTGCTCAAATCATTTGCCCATTTATAATTGGATTGCTTTTCTTTTGGTGTTTAGGTACACTGGATATTAATCCTTTGTCCAGTGAATAGTTGGCAGAGATTTCCTCCCATTCTGGGGGTTGCCTCTCCATTCCCGTAATTGTTCCCTTTCATGTGCAGAAGCTTTTTAATTCGTCAATTCTTGCTCTTATTTCCTGAGCAACTGGAGTCCTATTCAGAAAGCTGTACCCTGTGCCTGTATCTTCAAGGGTTTTCAGGTGGCAGTTTCAAAGCTGCAGGTTTTCCATTGAGATCAGTGATTCATTTGAATTGATTTTTGTCGGGAGAGAGGTAGGGGTCTAGTTTCGGTTTGCTACGGGTGACTGTCCGCTTTTCCCAGCACCGGTTGTGAAGAGACTGTCTTTTCTCCAATGTGTGTTTTTGGCTCCGTTTTGTCAACCAGCAGATGGCTGTAGCTGTGTGAGTTTATTTTTGGATATTCTATGCTATTCCTGCTGTCTATGTGTCTGATTTGTGTCAGTTCCATGCTGTTTTTGTCACCCTGGCTCTATAGTATAATTTGAAGTCAGGTATCG